ATTAGTCGTTTCGTGAATGTAGCCCACTTCGAATTCGTAGTTCTTTTGAGCGATTCCTCGACTCAATTTCCAGTTTTCAGTTTTGGGCGTAGTTCAAAGCACTAAATGTTGTGCTGAATGAAGTTAGAAAACGCGTGTAGGTTTTCCACCTGCGTTGCAAGAAGTTTTTTGTACCTCGATACAGACTTTGTCGACATCCCCGTTCGCGTCCCTCAATATTACCTTTCTCGCAGACATACCCTTTCACCTATTTCAAAAGCGTCTTAAAGCTAAGATACCTAAAGGTTTCAGGAAATGAAACTGTGTCAGAAAGATCGGTTTAAACACGGGCTTAATAGTCTCAATAGTTGGAACTGAAACATCAGTTACAAAAGTGATATCTCGTAAGTACAAATTCCATATACATGTACTTATATGAAAGATGCTGATTTCTTTGAGCCATCAGAAATCCTTTTCGGCCAGATCCAATGCTAAGAGTCACAGCTTTTTTAATTGGTAGTAGTGTTTAACTTGACGTCCTTTTGGGTCCGTGACAACAGTATTTCCTTATCCGAACACAGAAATCTTGTTGAGTTACGAATTATTCGTTCAGTCGTCTATAACCAGCTCTATGACTGACGCTTTCTGTTTGCAGGGCACTGCTCTGGTGCCTTTTTCATACAATAATATCAGTTAATGTGCCACCGGGTGATCAGCGGGATGGAAAAAAGTCAGAAATAGTATTTCTGTTTGCAAAACTTTGTAGGCCACTCCCATGGGTGTACTGGTACTGTACCGGGTACTTTCTGTGTTAGTTGGCAACCTGAGCAGGACTTCACAGTCAGTTCAAGTTCCTTGTCGATTCCAGGCCACCAGATATAACTTCGGGCTAGGGGGCGCAACTTCGGAGGAACTATGACTCTTATTTCCCACATCAGACAGCCTGATTGTAATGTGATCTCATCTTTGCGGGAAAAATAGGGGTTGTGTTCAGGATCAAGGTTGTGTAGCCATCCTTTACTGGACATTTCATACACCTGAGCCAAAACAGGATCTCTCTGCGTTTCTCGCCTAACGTTTTCCACTGTGACTGGCAGTGGATCGGATCAAACTGCATCAAACTGAATACACCCACATGGTCGACAATTTCTTCCTCTCTGGCTTCTCTTACAAGTGGTGGGCGGGAGAGACCATAGGCATTACATAACTGTGAACCTTAGCGTTCTTGTATTCAATGGTGTAATCCTAGCCCGCCAGGAACAAAGCATAACGTTGCAGTCGAGATGCAGTGACCACAGGGATGCGTTTCCGCGGGTGAAAGATTGACGTTAACGGCTGATGATCTGTGCACAAGGTGAATAAGCGGCCAAACAAATACATATGGAACTATTTTACTCCCCAGATTATTGACAGGGCTTCTTTGTCAATCTGTGTATACTTTTGCTCAGTTTTAGCGAGTGTCCTTGAAGCAAAGGCTATAGACCAGGTCGCTCGGTACCGTCGCTCATCACGTGGGACAGCACTGTTTCAATGCCTACAGGGGATGCATCACCAGCAAGCCATAGTGGCAGACTGGAATTGTAATGTCTTAGAACTTGCTCTGAAGTGATCATTTCTTTCACTTTGGGGAATGCTGCCTCGCACTGTTCAGTCCATTTTCACTGATGATTCTTCTCCAAAAGTTGGGTCAGGTGATCTACTGCTGTCGGCAGGCTAGACAGGAACCTGTGGTAGTAATTGATTTGTCCCAGAAAAGATCTCACTTTAGCTACATCGTTTAGACGTGGTGCTTTCAATACCGCTTCTACTTTCTCTGCTGACTTGTGTAGGCCATCCTTGTCAATGTCATTTCCACGATAAGTTATATTCTCCTTGAAAAAGTCTCATTTTGCCTTGTTTTCTCGCAACCCATGAAGCTGAAGCCATCGCAGGACTTCCTCTGAGTTATCCAGGTGTTCTGCATCATCCTTGCCAGTAATGATCATATCGTCAAGGATACAGCTTGTGCCAGATGTTCCCTCCAGCTCTTGATCTATGGTGCGCTGCCAGATAGCAGGTGGTGGTGTGATGCCGAACACCAGTCTATTATACTTAAACAGACCCATGTGTGTGTTTATATTGAAGCATTTCTTTGAATCTTCTTCCATCTCTAGTTGGTGGTATGCCTGACGAAGGGAAATATTAAGTTGACAATTTCTGCCACCAGCAAGCTTTGCAAAGATATCTTCAATGCAGGGTATGGGATACTGCTGAGCTTGTAGTTCGGGGTTCACTGTACCTTTGAAATCACCACAGATCCTGACAGATCCATCTTTCTTTGGGATAGGTTCAATGGGCGTTGCCCAATCACTCCACTCAACTTTTGTGAGAATACCTTCATTCTGAAGTCTTTTCAGTTCTTCTTCAACCTTAGGTCTTAAGGCATAAGGCACAGTACGAGCTTTGCAGAAATGAGCTTGGCTATCTTATTGGAGGGTTAGCTGCTTTGCCTTAGCTGATTTGAATGTTCCAACTTTATCTTCAAAATCATCAGAGTATTTGTCTAGCATGCTCTGCACTGACCATGTCTGGCAGACGCTCTCTAGCAATTGGTGGGGCTTGTGAAGCTTTCAGTGATTTAATAGCATACCAATCGAGCCGGATCTGGTGGAGCCAATCCCTTCTCATAAACCCCGGGGCCTTATTATTAACCACGTACAGGTCCAACAGTAAAGGTGGCTTATCTTTGTACTCGACATTTGCCTTAAGCACCCCGACTAGAATAATGTTTTCCCTGTGTAGGCTTTCAACATGAGCTCAGTTTTATACGAGGGTTTGTCGTTGAATTTCTCCATGTACTGAATCATGTTAAATGATCGACACACCCGAACCTGTGTCCAGTTCCATTTTCAGGGGTTTCCCTTCTGCTTTCAGATCGACCAAGATTACATTACTGCTTGGTTTGCTTTCATTGTGTATCTTGATGCTTCCTAACACATTTTCAAATTCATCGCTTTCACTGTACTTTGACAGTGTGGACTTGAGTGTTCGGCGGTGTTTTGGGTGGCTGCTTTGGCTTACCCTGTTGTTTCGGGCGACAAACTCTTGAATTATAGCCCCCTTTTTTACAATCATAACATGTCTGGACCTTGAATCTGCAACTGTGAGTGGCGTGCGAGTCTCCTCCGCATCGATAACAAACTTTAGGTGTGGGGCTCAGCGGCGGCGATAGCGGTGACGGTGGCTTTCTGTTATCTGTTATCAACTCGGGGTTTTGCGTGCAGCTCACTTTGCAATTACGAAGCATTACGAATGACAGTTTTCATTGTTAAGGCTATCTCCAAAGCCTTGAAATATTTCAGTTTTGCTTCTGAAAGAAAACGCGTTTGTATCTGCACATTTTTGAAGGCCACAGACAAATTTATCTCGCAAAGCTTCTTTAAGATTCGCGCCAAAGTTGAAGTGAGTCGCTAGTTTCTTCAGGTCTGCTGCGTAGGCCAACACGGTTTCTCTTTCTTGCTGATTTTGTTTATAGAAACGACAGCGTTCTGCTATTTCCAATGGTTTTGGACATAAGTGCTGCTGAGGGGTCATGATGATCTCCTGGGAGCTCTTCGTGGGTGATTTATCTGGCGAAAGAACATCCCTTAACGATGTTTACGTTTTGTTTCTGATCAAGCTTAACAAGGTTGGCACTTCGTGGTCCTCGTCGATGTTGTTTGCAAAGAAAAACTGTTCCACTCGTTCCACATAAGTTTTCCATTTCTCTTGTGTCTCATCAAATTTTCTATCCTCCCGATAGCAATCATATTGTCAATATTTTTTCTACATCCTCGTCGCGCATCAGTGCGCACGCTCACAATGTCAACCGCTGGTTCAATACACTACAGGAAACTACCCCACCCCAACTTTTCAGTCACAAAGTCGAGCTTTTTCACGATTTTTCCACTCGGTCACGCTGGCACCATTGACCAGCCCCACCGTGACCTTAACCCATGTAAAAGATATCCTCCCGGGTCTGAAGCACTGTACTTATCCCTAAGGTGGGCCGGGGGAAGAAGCAACAGGAACAATTGAACTATGCCTTATTTCTAAGGTAAAAAGAAAATATATTTCAAGCTGGTAAATGATACAGCACACCGAAAAACGTTTTGTAAAATTTCAGATTCTAGATTGTCTTTATCTACATCATTTCTCTATAGTTACCGTGTGACTACACGAACCGGCCGGGGCATTTGAAGGAAGATTATCCAGTTACAACGTTTTTGTTTAATTTTTAAACAAACGATTATCACCGATAAATTTCAGGGTCCAACTATGTAACCGCTGAAAATTCTAAAACCGTTTGAACTTACCTGACCTCTCAGGAAACAGCCTGTTGTTATTGTTCGGATAATCTTTTTCCAAGTGCCCTGGTTCGAGTAGTCGCGCCGAAAAATAACCACAATTTTTTATCTTCTGTGCCCTTAGAGCGTGCCATTTATTTAAGGATACAAGAACTGTTTCCCACTTCCTTCAATTCGTTTCTGGTTATCCTTTTGGCCTGTCAATACTTGTTTGTTTGTTTGTTTGTTTGTTTGTTTTGTTGTAAGAACTCCACAAACGTTCTCATGAGATGTTAGCATTTCACTACGAACAATAGATGAAACGCAAGTTTAGATCCAAGCTATGCAGGATATGAAAAAGTATGCAGATCGTGAACTGTTGACATTTTGGAGACAAAATCATTTTCAATAAATGAAAAACCTCGTATTATATTATTCCTCGCCAGATGCAACTACGAGACGTGCTTGGAATCTGAAAGATACTGGATCAGGTTATGGCTGATAACACTAAGGTGTTTTTACATGTCGTGTACGCCGGTTTTGGAGATGCTTCCATTTTGGAATTTAACTCTGGTAAGTTCCTGAGAATTCTTAGGGAAATGTCATATTTGAAAACTCTTACCTGGAGAATCTTTCTGTACTAGGGAATTTAATCAAATAAACGATACTGAATATAACTTATCAAGCAATTACTAATGGGTACTGAGAAATCTAACGCACGATATTCAATTTATAGGTGGAAACCGTCGTTTCTACTTGGTGGACGGAGGGCCTGTCAGTTACGAAGGAGCGGGGGGAACTATTAAAAGGCGAATCAAGAATCTTATGAAACGGCAGCTCTCTAAGCCTTACTATCAATATCTTCTTTACACATTGACCCGCTTGGCATGCGATCACAACAGCAAAGGCAAAGGTACATAGAGTAAATCAGCTGTGAACCAAAAAGACTGCTTGTTTGCCTGGCTGACTGACTGACTTACGGACGGACTGACTAGCCGTTAGCTGAATGGCCGCTTGAAAGTAACTACCGTCTGACCGACTGACTAAACTACTAAGTGACAAACAGTCTGGCTGACCGAATAATGAGTTACTGCCTTTCGATTATGCCGATGGAAGCCAAGGCACAGCATTCGTTAATTTAACAGGATAAGCCACAAACTGGCTTGTCTCGAGGAATATCCAACTACCAAGTGTCCTCCGTTTTTAACGTTTGTTTATCCTTTTGAAAACAAGTTGATTATGAAGTAATAGCGAAAAATTTCGTACTTTTGTTAAAAACCAAACCATTCGAGAAAAAAATTGTCTTGCAGCAAGATAAATTCTACAATGAAACATAAATTTACAAGCAAAAACAACTGCAGCAAGGTCCCCCCAAAAAGACTTAAGCTGTGCGTTTATGGAGATACGGATGCTTTTAGGAAATTTGGAGAGCACTCAAGAAGCCAAACTCTTACGTTTCTCTCGTGCTCTCCAAAGTTCGCACGTGCATCCATAACTTTACTCAATACACGCACGCTGAGTATAAACCAGTTATGAATTACTGTTTTGGTGTACGTTTAATAGTTAAAATTTAAGTAACAAGTAACTTTGCTTCATTTTTTTTAAGGTTTATTTGTTTATGACTTTCGGCAATGGCCTTTTCCTTTTCAATAGACCCGACGCTAGCACTTTTGTATAGCTAAGTGTCTTCACTTACGCGATACAATACATACGATTTTTCCGAGATCTTGGGCAAAACCGCCGCATAAGAATTCAAAAGGTCCACTGGTTGACGTGCGTCGTTCAAAAACGTCTATGCTTAAGCTCCCCAGTTTCTTTGTGCAACAATGCGAATAAACTTCAGTAATGGCCTTTTCAAGGACGATCTCATTGAATTGATCGTCTACCGCTTCAGTTTTCATAGCTGTCAAGGATATACCCTATAAATATATTGCTATACCGCCAGGAGCCCATAACTCGGAGCGAGCAACCCCATACTGGCCATACTAGGCCGATGTCATGGCGCTTTTACAGACCAGTATATTTTTAGAAACATTTTAGGGCGATTTTCCCCGCGGAAAAAAAAAACTCCGCCATATCTATGAGCACCTCTTGAACTATAAGATATCAAGAAGAAAAAAAAAATGTTATTAAAAGGCAAACATATCATTTTTTAGGTCTGTATAAGGTTTTGCTGACTTGTTTGTGGGAGGTAAAAGATATTCAAAATTCGCACCAAAACAATTCTAAACATTAACTGGTCTCTGAAAACGCCGTGACACGAGCACATGGAAGTTGCTCGCTCCGGGTTATGGGCTCCTGTTACCGCATAGCTTTGTGAAACAAATGATGGAACAGAGAATTAATAACTCTGCAGTGATTATCAAGTGCTTACAAATAATCCGTGGATCGAATGAGCTCCAATGAGCGTTAGCCCCAGCTTAAGAGATAGGCTTTACTAAAGAAAGTGCCTCCTTCTCAATTTTCCCTTCAGATCCTGGTACTTCTCGATCTCTTCTTAATTCTCCAACACACCAATCCTGGTGTCAAAAGGACAAGCCATTTATTTATTTATTTTATTTATTTATTTTTTTTTTTGCACTAAAACATCCGGTCTGTTCGCCTCATTTGATAGATCGGCCTGGATTTTGAAGCCGCACAGCATCTTGATCTCCGATTAATTATAGGACTGATTACAGGATGTTTGGTAACACAATTTATTGTTCCTTTCTAGGCGAAGGTGTTCATAATGCCCGCCTGAGTGTATTACTATGGCTGTTTTGTCATGCCTCCAGTTTGTGTAATGCTTTTGAGCAGGCATCTTGCGCGCCGCCAGCACGTGTGTCACTGCCTCCTAAATTTCGCCACACATTCTGCAAGCTGGCGCTATATATTGCTAATTATAATTATTAAAAACTGAATCATTGGATAATGCAATTCTAGCATTTTGATTGGCTTAGCCGTTATGGTATATGAGCTATTATACCATGCTCTCCATATATGGTCGGTGTACGCGTCAGTTTAAATTGGAAGCTAGCTGAGATTTTTTTCGCGATGGATAGAACGGCGCAAGAAGCAAATCGTTTTAATTCATTTCTTAGAATACTAGAAATGCAATTTCGTCGAAAGAAAAAAGACAAAAACAAGCAAAAAAGCCACAAGAAAGTTTGTCGAAAAACACATGAAAACACATGGAACTAAAGTAACTTGAACAGTTACGAAAGAAGACAAGTGATCGCGAAGCCATTCGGCGATCGAGTCGCTCCCCGATAGATAACTGCGGCTTGTTTATCCGACATCAAGAATATAAATCACAAGTAACCAGCTACAAATACAGGCTATGCAGCCATTCAATAGAGAAATCGAGGCGGCAGTATAGTTTCTTTTCTCGTTCAGCAAAACAGCTCGTGGCTTCCAACAACTTCATAACAAGCGACCGAGGTAATAGTTTTTCTCCGTTGTTCTTACTTTTATAACTGCACCGAAAATCCAAATTCACAGTAATTTCGACGGCTGTCACTTAAAAATTCTTTTCCTTCACGTTATCTGCCAGGTTCTTTTAGCTGTTCTGCTGTGTAAAATCCTAGAACCCCGATGAGTTTTTCAAAAACTAATGTTCATCGCTACAATGTTTTGATTTTTCATTCATGCAGTCCAGTCGAGTCCGTTCGCGCGTTGACAGTTTTGATAGACGTGTGACATGTGAATAGCGGAAGTCCCTTGTCTTTTCCGGTTTGTTCTAGTCGGGGAGATTCAACGAGATTTTGTGGGCGTTTTCAATAAAACAATTATTCCACTCGCGCTTGTTGGAAATGAGATGATTATAGCCAACTCGGCGCTAGGCGCCTCGTTGGCTCTATCATCTCATATCCAACGCGCCCTCATGGAATAATTGTTAATTATCATTTTCATTACTATCATTATCATTATTGTCATTATCATTATCATTATCATTATCATTATCATTATCAGTATCATTGTCAATGTCATTGTCATTGTCATTGTCATTGTCATTTTCAGTATCATTATTATCGTTATGATATAGAGATGTATCTAAACGATACTTGTATATCTGCTCTGATGGTTGGAATTCACTCAAGTCACTAATCTTACGATCTCGACCTTGCCCATATTTTAAATGTTCCTCTTACGCCAGTAATCAACCTTCACGGCGAGATAGGTTGGATATGACTTTAATGTTTGCTCTAAGCTTATCATGACCGACAAGGTCAGCCTCAATGAGGCTTCACTTATCAAACTGATAACAGTGTCTCTGTTTCTTCTGACCACTGTGAGAACACTTATTGGTCTTAATTACCGTCCTTGTACGTTACCTTACCGAAGAAGGTTTAAGCAAGGACTACCTCCATTTCATGCGGAACACTTTAAAGCAGTTGAAAGGGCTCTTTGAATTTTCTGGACGTCGTAGCCTCGTGAATGGCTTAGGTCTCATTTCTTTACTGGCATTTTTGTTTCCCCTTAGTGTTTCGTTCACTTAATTTATCAGATACAAAACAACATTACCTATTTGGGATGCTTCCAATACATGTAATTTTCATATCTACTCAAACTCAACCCTTCCTCTTGGTTAAAATCAACTCCTGTATGGTGTGTATTGTCATGGCACTGTAATGTTATTGTGTTCCCATAAAAACCTGGCGGTAACTCATCAGTGCTTCCCAAGAAAGCCCTGACACCTTGGCCTACGTCGTACTTCATTTCATTTTTGGTTCAGGGGCAAAATGTGTAGTTAATATCCTCCATGCTGTCACCGAAGGGAAAGTGCTGAGTGTCCGAGATATTTTCCTGTGGACGTGTCCCTTTGATAGAGACAAATAACAAATAAGGTCTGCTCTCCTTTGGACCAGTAGAAAGAAAGGTTCCCGTATTACAGAGCTGTTGTTGAGTAGAGGTTTGACTCTATTCGGAAATTGCACTCGGAAATTGCTCTTCTTGTTTCAGACAATACATTCTACTTTCCAGTGCCTTTCTCCAACTAGACGCGTAGATGCGATATAACACTACTATCGAATATCGGTAAAGAGACGAGTAGCAGGCAACTGCAGCGGGATTTACGTGGTAATGCTCCTTTTAGCCTCTCCCTACAACACAATTCCGAACAAATTCTGTCATCTATGCTTCTGTAGCTTTGTGAAGTGACGTTTTTAAACTTACTATCATTCTTCAAGCTTGCGCTTTTACCTTTCTTTGTACAGAAACTAATACGAAACTTGTGGTGTACACAAACGAGCTGTTTAACTTGATTTCATTTCTAAACAATGCTTCTTCTTGCATGTATGTTTGCCAGAGATCAAACTTGATGGAGCGGTAGTCTCCCATCCCCACGCTGATCATTTAGACGGTGTGGAAAGACTCTTCAGGGAGCTCCTTCCTAAGAATTACCAACTCAAGGTTGCAGATGAGACCCCAGAGAAAAGATTGATCTGCAATGGACCAGTGTTGCTTACAAGAAAATTTGCTCTTCAAACGGAAGCCTATTGTAGCTTTTCCAACTTTCTGCTAGACGCTAAATTTGAAGTTACTCTAAATGAAGATGATATACAGAATGCCTTTGGTGGTAATGGCATGTTTTTCACGTTTCCTACATCGCCTGGTGTGTTGTACAGTCGATACGAACATTCAAAAGAGGAGAGACCTTCCATAAAAGAACAAAAGGCTAAGTTAGCCAAGGGAAAACAACATGAAGACAGGGATCTGAACAAATCAAGCATCATTCTTTACGTAGAGAAGGGAGGTAAGATTTGCTTGACTGGGGATGCTCATGGGCATGACATAACCTCAACGCTAAGAAAGCAAAATGTACAGGACCTACATATTTTCAAGATACCCCATCACGGAAGTCGCAAAAACAGTATCTTGGGCACAGTGTTACCTCCAAAGTGGGCAATCCATAATTTGGCAGCCATGCTCCTTCTTAGTACAACTCTACGACGGAAAGTCGCACTGGGCAATGATTATGAAGAGGAAGACGACATAAAACACCTTAGTGAGACCGTAAAGGACATAGCTGGATGTGGGAATGGGGAAATGGTACAGAGGGTGGCTGATACATTTCGAGCGGAACTGATTCAAAAGAAAAGGATCCAGAATAAATCAGAGAGTGTTAACGCGTTTCTAACAAAAGTTGAGAAGAAGCATATGGAAATTGTCAGAGCAATTCAAGAGAATACTAGGGATCCTTGGAAGGGTGTGAAACCACTGGAAGAACTGAAACCCTGGAAAGATCTCACGAAATCAGTCGTTATGAAGTATTTGCAATGCTTTGAGCGAGGTACTGAAAGTCCCGTAAAAAGGGACAAGGTTGATGTTGCTGCATCAAGCATCGAGCATACCATCAAGCAGTTGCTAGGCAAAGCCAAAGTTTTCAAAAGTTACTTCTATAAATTTGGGATTGGCAAGTTCTTTGATTCGTTTCATGCCAAGACATACTACTTTTCAGCCGAAGGTCGATATCAGCATCCATCTCCTCTTGTTGTTAAAGGAATCATAAAAGCCGCCGTTAAGAAGAAGAAGTCTTGTAGGATTGTGTTCACTTCTGGGGGATGTGTCCCTTCAACTCATTTACCTGACGTCAATTCCGCATCGTTCCAAGGATGGAAGGAACTTGTCTCTCTTTACTACCTAGAAGGCGATTTTTCATTTAAATTGGACCCAGGAGAGGACGTCAACATTGCTCCAAGCGGAACAAAGAAATTGCAACACGATGACGGTAAACCATCCGAAGTGGCTGAACAACTGAGAAGTAACCCTGGGTTTACAATCCCCCACAGGTCCTTTCTGCCGGAAGTTGACACATATTGTGTGACAGCAATAGTATCTGAAAAGACGTACTGGCTAGACGTTAAAGACGACGGAAATCTCTTTGTCGCCTCCACCAAACGCATTCTCACTGTTTCTAACGCACACTGCATCAATGGTGATTTGAGAAAGATCTCTCTCAAGAGTGAAAGTGGCTGTGAGACGGTTGTGACTCTTGAACAGGTACAAAACTCTGACTGCTATCTGATTAAGGTTTCTCCCAGCCAAGGATACCTTTTCATTGAGGAGTTATCTCCTAACATAAAGGTTCAAAACAACAAGAGCACTAAGTTTGCTTTCACACACACGACGCTTGCTCCTTCAAGCAAAAGCGGAAACCAGATAACAATTTTGGAATTCCTCAAGTCACTTGGGTACAACGCCGATGGAAAACCAATATACGTTGGAAGCGTTCTGGAAATTCTTCTCGGGGCAGTAAACATGAAAAATCTAACTGATCAATTACCAAACGATGTCATTGCAAAGGTCACCTTTGATCAGGAAGTATATTTGGAAGGGTCTTCTGTTGAGATTTCTTCATTGGGAGATGCCGAGGTTGTCTCAAGCCACATACATGTGTCCTTGCCAACGCCTTCAATAAAGTTTGACTCGCATGACGTAACCAGACTTAAGTTTGTTGTCGAAGGCCCAAGTTCTGAGACGCCAAGCCTTTCACTTGTATTATCCACTTTTCACCGGGATATAGAATACACTGTCAACCTAAGCAAGTTGTTGACGAAAAGGCAAGCGTCTGTTGACATGTATTTAAATGCACTTAGAATGTCTACAAAGTACCGAGACAATTTAACTCTAGGAACATTACTTGATCGTGTAATGGGCCGCCTTCCACTTGAAGCATTGTCAAAATGCTTTCCATCAAGGCTTTTTGAAGATGAGATACTTTCCTGGAAAATTGATCGCGCAATCTCCACAGTGAAGTACTTTAGATCTCCACTTGCTGTCGAAGTTCTTTCTGGTGACTTTTATATCATCATACCACATGGGATGAACCAAATGAAGTTTGGGAACTCGCTAAGCGTAGAAATGTCTCGAATTCACGTTGTGGTCAGCGACCCACGTACATACAAGAGCAGTTTTGAGATTTACTGCGATGCAAATATCCAGAAAATTCCAGTCAACGTAAAAATGACGTCCACCTCGGGAAACCTACCAGAAGTGGTAATCTCGTTTCCTGAAACCGTCACTCCGTTCGAAGTATTCAAATTACTTGATCATACAGGCACCTTATTAGAGCTTCGGGTGCCATTTAAAAATGAGATGCTGAAAAATTTGTCATTGACAAAGCCAAGAATATCGGTTGCCCAGGATGTTCGAGGTTCCAAAGAAAGCCGCGTCTGCGCAGTGAGCTTTGACTTTTCGTTTGATTCGTTTTCTTCCTTCATTCCGAAAAGCCTTCCTCAGCCTGAAGATACCAAAGGATCATTGACCATTCTTAATCCCTTCAGCACAAAGCCTGGTGTGTTACTTGAAGCTCACTTTAAATTGCCTATTTCTTCATCTGAAGAGGAAAAATCTTACTTAAACTCGAAGCTCTCATTTTGGCCAATTCAAGTTCCAGATATTCCAGACTCGGACTCGAAGGATGGGTATGCCTGCAGCATATCACTGTCTCCTAGTTCTCCTGGTACTACATTGAGATCAGCCCTTAGCTCAGTTATTCCAGGCGACATGACAGACCTAATGTCGGTATCTCTGCCTTTCATTTCTTCAAAACTGGATCAAGTGGAATTGGATAAAATTTATCTTGAAGCAAATCCCCAAAGCAGAAATATCATTTCTGTGATGGTCTCGTTCATGGTTCCAGAACTGACAGTTGTCAAGGAAAGGTTGGCCATTTACGACGCAAATTTCGTCGTGGAGTACGCCAACGAGCAATGGTATGCACATGCTGAAGCAAAGGTGTGCGTCTTTAACAAGTTCGTGTGCCATGCCGCATTTTCTTTGCCAAAGGCCGACGCACCGGGCACCTTGGCGTTTGAAAACGCAAACGATCTAACCTTTGAAGAGTTTGTCAAGGGCATGGGAGTTGTCGATTCAGGAGATATTCCTGTTGTGAAAGAATTGCTTGATTTGAAGATTTCTCAAATTTCTTTGAGCTTTGAAAACGCGGGTGCGTCTCTCAGATTAACAGATTTCTTGGTCGTTGTGGAAAAGAGGCAGTTTAACGTTGGACGTCTTCAGCTCTTCAACATTAAAATTGGAGTAACGTACACCAGTATTCAAGATCGATCAAGGATGTCGTTTTCAGTTGAAGGGTCTCTAAATGCGAAGACTCACGCTTCCTTAGCTTACAATGCAGAGAAAAGAGAGCTTTGTGGAAATTATCAATTAACAGAAAACATGTCCACGAGTGAATCTCTTAATGAATTATTTAAGGCAGATACTCAAGTACACCCTGAAGGAAATGCATTTGATCAGGTGAAGAACTTGCAAGTTCAAGATGTGGTGGTGATTCTCAGTTTCCCATGCGACGAGGAGTGTAGCTTGAAGACGTTTTCCTTAGGCATTCAAGGTTCTCTGTCACTTGGACCCTTCAATCTTCACAAGCTTCGCTTCAAATACGTCAAAGAACAAGCAGAGGATACTAAACACCACTACACAATCACCGGCAAGTTCAAAAGCCATGAACCATCATTAAGTCTTATTATGGAACTTAACTGCTCAACCCAGGAATCGGAGAAGAGCATACTTGAGGCTAAGATTAGGCCAGACATTCCAGGAGGATTAACACTTTCGTCTTTGTTAAAACTTTGTGGTTTAAACGCCCCTGACGTTCCAGTGGTCAATGGGTCGCCTAATTTTCTGGACATAGAGCTAATGGTAGGTAACACTGTTTTAATCGCTTTATAGTAGGCTTATTTTGATCTAAAGAAAAGCACATAAAAATAGGTGTCAAAGTTTGATTAGGTCTGGAGAATTAAATGGTATCTTTCTATATTGTCTTTGAATTTTAGAAAAACGTTTTCGTTTCTATTCGATTTTAATTTAAGTTAATAGTTTCATTTAAATACTCTTCTGTTTGCACCAAAAATGAATTTTTTGTGATTTTCAATAACAATGATACCGAGGACATTTGTTCTACTCTTTGGAAAGAACGGGTAGCAATAAAAATAAAATTGCATGTTATTCTTGAGAACCTGCATTTAGCCATAACTACTTATTATTCTTCAGGAAGCTCTTCTTCAATTTGAGGTTCCATTTCAAGTTCTCAAGTTGGATGTTGTGATACAAACAAAAGAAACTCTGACCATCCTTCAGACACCTATCATTAAACTTCATAACGCAAGATTTGAATATCATTCGGACAGCAAAAGTCACCCCTCACGAACAGAAGTCTTCATCGAGGGAGATTTTACCATTGCACAGATCCACTTGAGGGTGAGATTAATGAAGGACACGAAGAATTGCTTGATTTTGGAAGGACGTTTAAACCAGACAGATAACGAGATCCTGGACTTCGAAACGGCAGCTCAACAACTTTCTCCAGGACTTGACGTTAAACTCCCAGAGGGTGCTACTGCGTCTTTGAGCTCGTTTTCCTTCCTGGTGAAAAAGAGTGAAGAATACACAGAGCTGGCATTGGAAGGTGAGTCGAATGGGACTTGGTCCAAAGACGCTGGCTTTAGTACTATCAATGTTGAAGCTCTAGGTGGAAAGCTGCATTTCAGAAAAGAGCGAGAATCTGATCACTGGTCTAGTTCCGTTTGTCTTACTGGAAGGGTTCGTTTGCTGCAATCAGTTGTTATCGGTGTGGAGATTTACTATGACAAGGAGTCTGGAGTCCTCGCTGTTGGGACTGTGCAAAAGCCAGAGCAAGTAAATCTTGAAGCTATTACTCGTCAATTGTCAGCTACCTCCGAGTCTTCCACATCTTGGAATGAAATTGTACCAGAAGGGATCGAGTCTTCTTTGCGTTCACCTAATTTCAAGACCGCATCGATTTATATTGATTTTGCCAAGAAGACGCTACTTCTTTATGGAAATGTATCTGGATTAGGGACAGGATTGTTGATTGTCAAGAGGTCAAACAGAGACAAAGAAGAGTCTTCTGAGTATGGTTTCTTGTTCGGGTTAACGCTAGAAAGTGGCTTCAGGTTTTCCTTCATTAACAGAAGGCTAAGCGTTGTGGATGATGTCCTGTCAGTACAACAAGCAAATCTGTCGGTAATTTCATTGCACAAGGAGACCATTGATGAATTGCGCAAAGATTTTGCGAAGCTACAGGATGTAAAAAAGTCTTCTTTATCCAAACATCTAGATGTTAATGTCCCTTTTGCTGACCTTGACATCACAAGCATCTCCAAATTAGATGTCAATCTACGGGGAGTAAGAGCATTTGCGAAGATCCACTTTTCCAGCAGTAACTCCAAGCTAGTTCAAAACGTAACCCGAATTCAAAAAGAAGGCGAACGTTCGGATGTTGTTTTATTTGGCAAGTTACCAGAGAACCCTGAAGAGACCGAATTTAACGCTAGCATTCAAGAGATAAAGCTCTTTGGCGGTACTTTGACTTTCAGAGAAGTTACTCTGGTATACAGGCCTTTCCCAACCGACAAGATGAACTTCAACTTGAGTGGCAAGATGTATTTGCTGTTGGAAGAAAATTCAAATCCGCTGGTTTTCATTGGCAATCTTAAGGTCTCAGAATTAAAGGTAGAGTTTAACATGACAGTTGAAGGTGGCCCTGAGAAAATAACAGAGCCGTTTGGAATGTCTGGAATTTCTTTCGAACATCCAGAGCTTAAGCTTATGTGGAAATTTGACGAAGACCATCACAAGCCTGTTATCCCTTCATACATGATAAGTGGCGAGGTCATTTTCTTTAAATCAAACGGGACTGGTGAGGATCCTGCTGCAACTCTACGAGGATTAATCTTATTCCAACAGGGAAAACCAGTCGTGGCAAGAATCTCTTTCGATCTGGAGAAGCCTCTTAGTATCGACGACGTGTTTTTTACATTGATGGGGCACAAATGGCCAAAGGGATATCTGGATGTCAAGTTCAGAGGGGGCCTTGTTTATTACTCGAAATCGACTCTTGAAATAGAAGACCGAGAGGGAAATGCGGTGATGTACAAGGAAGGATTTCATGGTGAGACACACATACAGATCTTTGGCTATCCTTTTGGCGTTGAAATTTCAGTCAATTCGAATCCCAAAGGAATGATTATTAAAGGTTACACAGATTCTGAGATCGATTTGCGGTTTGTCACACTGGGTGGCGCGGCTGGACGCGAAGACGAAGAAAGGGGCCCCGAAGTCGTGATCTCGCGCTTCGATGGGCATATGACGTTCAATATTTCTGCTGGAGTTAAACTTCTTCAAGAGAATATAGGAACCTGGTCAGTTGGGTACAACACCAAGGAAAGCTGTTTCTTAGGGAGTCTGACTTACGATGGAGAGTTACTTGGACGTGAAAATCCTTCCATTGAATTTGAATGGAGCAAAGAGGGAGGATTCAAGATTCGTCAGCTGCAAGCCCTACTTGATCTAGAGGCACTGATTGATTTTGCCAGCGCATTTGAGAAGCTAAGCGAGATTATAAGTAGCCCGTGTGAAAAGATTGTTGGTTTGGTCTTCGACCAAGTTATCAAGACGAAGTGCAGCTTGGATATAAAGCAGGTTCCTGTGAAGGAGTCCCAGAAACCAAATGCTTGGTTTGCACTTGGATTGCAAGGCAAACTGGACATCATTATCGGCTTCACTGACGAACCTACTTTGACTGTCAATTTCCCTTGGATGGTCTTAGCACCTGAAAAACCACCCAGTCAGTTTCGGCTGTCCGATTTAAAGGGTTTCCTCATTGCAAATATTGTAGAAAACTCTCTAGATGTGGTGAAACAAGTCTTCTCTGATCCTGAGCAGCTGACAAAATTCTTTGCAGCATTTGGTACGATCAAACTATCCAAGTGGGTTCTGTCAAGTCTTATCTGCCGTGGTGTTACTAGTCCCAACGTTACAGAGGCAGCTGAAGCAGCGTTGGAGGCCATGGAGACTTTAGCTGCTACAGAGGAGGCAGCTTTGGCCAGTGAATTCGCTGAATTGTAAGTTAATAACCTTGTCATGTTTCTTTGCCTCAACTAATAGTACAGCACTCTTGCAGGAAATAATTACAGAAAACGCCTTCACTGATAAATTGAAAAGTTGAAAGCATTCAATACTTGACCATAGGCCGTGTAAATACGATGTCTTCTCTCGTGGATGCACAAAGACGCGCTGTCTAGGAGACCTTCTACTATAGCTACTGAAGGTTTTTCATGATCTATTTTAAAATAAAAGAAAAAATATATATATAATTATACGTGTAGGTATTTTGAACGAGTTTTGGGGCGTTTTATTGATTGATCTGTGTCAGTTCTTTGTCAGATTAAACTATGTAATTTCTTCTCTATGTGACTGGCTTGACTTTCAGGATCTGAATGAATATAGTGAAAAACGAGAATGTAGGATTTTTTGCTATATTTTTTGTTTAATTTTTATCATTATTATTACAATTAATAGTATTGTTATTATTATAATTGTTGTTGTTGTTGTTGTTATACAGGCTGGCTGCAGTCGGAGCAGCAGTAAGTATTGCTGAACTTGCTGCTTACGCAGTCCAAGTTATTTTCACAGTCGCAGCTGTAATTACACTATTGAAGGACATCATGCGGTTTCTAAAGGGCATCGTCAACTTTTTCACTGGGAAGACTGAGCAGCAGAAAAAAGCCGAGAATAGATTAGGAGAAGCCAAGAAGAAGGGAAAGGAGGCAATAAAAGCTGTAGAGGATCGCTTGATAATAGAAGGTCTCATGATCACTTTGCCTGAGTCAGATCAGATCCAAGTTACCTGGAAACCATTGGAAAAAGGCGTCAAGTACAAAGTGCAAATTGTATGCATTGAACTAGGTGGCGCAAAGAAAACCCTACAAGACGTAACAACAACAAAAAGTAATGTTAATGTTCAAAATGAAGCAATAAAATACAACGCCAAAACATTCAAGGCGTCTGTTGAGGCATTCTACCAACAAGGTGATAACATGTTCAGAGGAAAGGAACAATCGTTAGCAGTGGATGCTGTAACTCGCCTTTATGCGCCATCGAAAGTAGAAATTGAGTCTAAGCAAGAGGGAAGAGAGTTGCACGTGTTGTTCTCCCAAGTTAAATATGCTGAGGGATACAAAGTTGAAGTCCTTTCTCACGACGGCAGCGTGATTGGTGGTGCTGTCCTCAAGCCCTCTGCTGAGGAAAATGATGAGAAGCTCGTATTTCAGGCCCAAGAGTTTGTTTTTGGACCTCCGGGCTTAATCAAAGTTAGGGTTTGTGCCCAACTATATCAAAGAGGGACAAGCGATAATGAATTCAGGTGCTCCGGCGATCTGTACCGCGTGGCAGCCCCGTCGAATACCCGCCTCTCTTACAAGTCAGGGTCACAAGTTGTAAATGTACAATGGAGTGTGACTAATGCCCAAGACATTTCCAGCTTCCTCTGCGAGGTAGTTTCACTGGAAGAGAAAGCTATCTATCGACGGGTATTAGCCCTAAAAGATGGAGACCTTAGTTTCAACATTCAAATTCCACTGGTTGATATAACAACAAGATCAGATCCCTCGTATCAGCTTCGTGTATGTTCCACAGGCAGCCCAACAGCACTAGCCAGTTCCTTTTTCGCCAGTGAAGAGCACTTGTCCTTCCTGAAGGAAGTGAAAATCATATCATCATCGTACGATCCTCAGGCAAACCGACTGACAGTTTCCTGGCTGCTGGTTCCTGGAGCAGTGACCTATGTAGCTAGTATTCACGCAAAGTCTAGTTTGTCAAGTTCTGCTTCAACCAAAGTGGTAGAAAGCCGCAATGACAGGGTGGAGTTTGAAATGGGGGACGTTGAACTTATTACTGGCTTGCCGTATGTTGTGTCAGTGATGGCTGATGGAAAAGATTTGCAGCACCTTCCAAGTTTACCGTCAATTACAAGCAAAGGGTTTACTCAGTTGCCACGTCCAGTGTCTGTCGTCCATGATTACGCTTTTGAAGAGAGAAAGATTAAAGTCACTTTTACACCTGTTCCTAATGCAACTGCCTCTAAAATTGAAGTTGTGAATGTTAGTTTTCCATCCCAAGTGGCAGGCGTGCTGGTTACACCAAACACAGCAACAAAAGTGGATTGTTCATTTGACGTCGAAAGCATGAGTTTCGTTAGTGGTGCTTCCTACAAGTCATGGGTCACCGCCTTAGGAAATGAAACACTGATAAACAGCATCCCCTGTGTCACGGATACAGTGCTTACTTGCAGTGACAACGCAGAAACTGTGGCATTGAAATACAGCGAGGCATGGAAGCAAATGGTTGTCTCCTTTGATTCAGGGGAGGGAAACTTTTTGTTAAGGGTAGAGGACGTCTCAAAGAAAAAAAGGCCAATCAGCACCCAAATCATAGCTGTCAAGCAATCAGAGCAACCAGTTCACCAATCGGTAGTGGAGATCCCTCTGAATATCACTAAAGAGCCACCGGGTGCAAGGTATCAAGCTTCTGTAATGAACGCCGGCGATCACGAGTACTTGCCTAGTGGGACTGCTCAGTCCAATGAGGTTCTTTTATTGAGTCCACCTGACTCCGTGGAACAGCAATACAAAGAAGAAGTCTTTACTGTATTGTGGAAGAGTGTTGATTCAGCACCCGGTTATAAAATTAGAGTGTACAATTCTAAAACCGCAAGCACGGCTATAGAAGAGAACATTAGTGATCTATCACTTGCTGGCAAACAATTGAGGAAAGATTTTTCTCTTGGCTCTTTGTTCCTGGAATCTGACGGCGCTTATGAAACGGTTGTGCAAGTCTTGGGAGATGAATTGAACATAGGTGGAGCCAGCGCCAAATCTAACACATCAATACCGTCTTTATCCCCTCCTGAATGCGTCGAAATTTCTTTCGACAATGATACCCATCGCATGCATGTGAGTTGCTGTTTTCTGAAAGACGCAACATCCTTTAACCTAGGAGTAGTCGATGCCAAAAAATTAAGTAGTCAAGGCGCGACCATTCAAAACGCTTTACTAGGATTGAAGACTTTCATCGTTAACAGGGATTGCTTGGATGAACGAGTTGAAGTGGATTTTGGTGACAGTGTACTGATTTGTTCACTTGACGGTGAACACAAAGGAGTAGCACAAGTATCTAGAAAGCAAGACGATTGCATGATACTCCCAAGTGGGTATTCCATTTCTGAAGGAGCTGTTTCTTGGTTGAGACCTGCTGTTCCTATTCACCTGTATTTCAATCCGGTAGATTCAGTTCTGAAGATTACGTGGACGTCTGTTAGGCTTGCAGTTAATTACGTGGTTGAAGTTTTGCAAACAAGAGATGATGATGACGGAGCAACTACGACCTTAATTCCGATTTCAAAAGAGGTTGATGGCCTCTCATATGATGCAGACACAGAAGATTTAAAGATCGAGGAAACTGACAAGTTATTGGCGAGAATTCAACCAATCGCAGCCCAAGGAAGTGTAATTAAAGATCACGCCATTGCCTACTCAAGCGAAGTCCTCGTTTGCCAAGGCTCCCCATCTCAGATTGAGGTTCTACAAGTCAACGATGAGGCGGTGAAACTGAGATGGAAGGGAGATGAAGCCGATGAGTTTCACATTAGAGTTTGGATGGTTTTAAAGACTAGGGAACCACTCGAAGTCATCACTAAGGTAATATATTTAATTTGCACATAACTAAAACCAATGTTGAATACATTAGTCGTCGAAAGATCCTTCAAACCGTTTTGAGAGATTTTTCTTTTTCTTGGATTTGAACTAAGTTACCAAATATGAAGCAAAAGAAACCAGAATTTTATCTATTGTATAGTAATAACACTATCGAAGTAGATTGGTTTGCCATTCACTGGCGATTCTGAGATTTTATTAGAGGCCAATAATTAAATTATTGCACTAAACCCTCCTTCCTCCTCCTCCCTGCAAGAGAAAAAATATAATAATAATTATAATAATAATAATAATGATAATAAATGAACCCTTGTTGGTAAGTCTGACACATGGTCGCGAAACAAACAATTAAGAGATAAAAATTATTTTTGCAGCATGTAAAGAAACTGGAATTTGAAGCTTCAGCTGCTGACCTACTCATGCTTTCGCCTGGCCAGTACAAACTTGGTGTTCGAACACAGGGGTCAAAGGCGAAATTGCACAGTGTTTTTAAAGAAGCAGATTTCCAAGCTGTCATCATGGACGCACCAGATGTCAATACCACAAGGCAAAACACAAGTGTAACGGTGAGCAGAGCCGGCGGCTATCAGGAACAACACGCAACAACATCCAACAACATGCAACAGGGTGTGCAAACGGACGCAACATTTAACATCCAACAATGTTGGGAGTTGTTGGCCAACAATGTTGCGTCCGTTTGCACGGGGCTTAAAAGCGCAAATCCTTTAAAAATACTATACTAAGGATTCACTTGAAACAATAAGCTTTGGTAACCCAGCGTAATTCTTGACATAACGGCTCTGTTTAGTTCCTATAAGAAATGACTTATGCCCCGTGCAAACGGACGCAACATTGTTGGCCAACAACTCCCAACATTGTTGGATGTTACATGTTGCATCCGTTTGCACACCCTGTTGCATGTTGTTGGATGTTGTTGCGTGTTGTTACGCAAAGTTTAAAACTTTTCAGCCAACAACTGCCAACATTTCTTTTGTTCCATGATCGCCGAAGCGTAGTGCAACAATGTTGGATCCGTTTGCACAGCTCTTCCAACATTGTTGGGGCCACGCACGCTCATTACGCATGGTTTACAAAGACTTATGGGTTGTATCCTTCCCACGATGCACTGCAAGTCCCAACATTGTTGCCGCAACAATGGTGGGAGTTGTTGCGTCCGTTTTCAAGCAGCCTTAGGGCAATAAATAACTTAATTGACTTTCTTTGTTCTTAGTCTCGCAATTTTCTAAAAAAAAAAACAGTACAGTAGCTCAGCTATTCAAAAACATCGCTGTTGAAAACTGAAATTATAAATATATATATTCAGATACTTAGCTGGAGTACGTATCCTGGAAATGAACTCAGTTACGTAACCGCAAATGTGTTTGTGTCCATCGAGAATACGATCGCGATAAATAAGTCCTCTTCTTTTCCAACAAACTGGGAAAGTATACAGACCAAAAAAAATTTACTAGACTTTTTCAAGTCCAATAAGCGGGCCAAGTGTAAGTTTATCAGATATCACCACAAAATTATCCAGGATGGCGGTTTTGTTTGCGCGCTCGACCAAAACCGCCATGCTCCGCAGCGCAGGCTAGGGTCAACCAAGATCCCGACCTAAGAGGAAAGAAAAACAAAGCACATATTTTTACGTTGCCTTGAGAATTCCTCCCTCCGCCCCTCACCAGGGTTGGCACTTATGGACAGGCACACTGGTCAGAACTAAATTTTTAGCTTCGATAAGTTACCATGTTTTCTTACCCATTGTGCTGCATTGTAAGAGCCCACTCTTGCATTAAGCTAGGACGCATAAAGAATAGATAATAATCCTTGTAAGAAATGGATTGTGATAACAGCTGAGTGCCACAACAATCTAAGCAATGATCTTGCAACTTTATGTATCCCCGAGTACTCGGGACCACTGGGCAAGAAAATATTGCAATTTACCTTCATTCATCATCAAGCAATCTCACCTTTACTACCTCATCTCTTATGACTATTTAACTTAATTAATTCAAGTGACCGAGAGACCGCCAAAGTTACATATAAGTGTATCTTATATGTCAAAGTTTGTAAGCATGATTGTTTTGATAACAGGTGCAATGGATACCAGTTCACAACAATTCAGGTCAGGATTTTTCAAACTACGTCATCTCCTATCTCCAGCGAGACACAGATTTAGCCTGGCGTCAAATTGAAGTCGGATTATCAAAGACTCAAGAAACAGTAGATCACCTGCAAGCTGACAGCGAATATCTTTTCTGTGTCTCTGTTGCGAGTTCTAAGCTAGGGGCTGGCATAAGGAGTCCTCCAACTGCTGTTTACACTGGTGCTATGTCTGGTAATTCACTTTTTTCAGTTTCCCGTGCAGTGTGGAGTTTATATTTGCCGAAATAAGTGTCGTATACGTTCTTTGGACAATTGTCTTCCACACAGTGCATAGAACGGGATTTTCCCTGTTTGGAATAAAAAAGTTACGTAAAGTACATGAGACAATGAACAATACACACAATAACTAGCAGCAACAGGTTTTCCAACACCAAGAAACAACCCAAGCATCGAACCACTGAAACACTGCTCCAATATCGCCAGTAAGATTGAAAATGTATATATATATATATAAAAAATATATATATATATATGTTTAATATATGTTTAATCAACTTTCTTTGCAGCGAAGTTTTCACGTAACCTGTTGGACAATCCAAACTTCGCCCCTGCGCAGGATTGGGATGAGACTGGCCACACTTTTAATATCATCACAGATCCTTGGAAGTTGATACAACCAAAAGACAGGCAATACAGGCTTCAAAAAAGATCTCTTGGTAAGAAAAATAACTGCTTATTAGGACCTTAATATACAAAGTGCTTTTTAGCCAATGGGTACTCCCACGATTCCCGGTGTTGATTGGGAGGACCCATTATTTAACTTGGTCCAAGCCGTCAACTTGAATGGTTTCTCTTTTGGCGATTCATTATTAGGCCGCACTATATAAGTATTTCGGCGTTTCGCCCTCTCCTTATCTGTACGTATCGAATTTAAATAACAATAATAACAATAATAATCATAATAATCATTATAATAATTATAATAATTATGGGACTCTTGTACTGCTCACTTACTGAGAAGGTCACTTTCCAGCAGCAATTAACAGACTTATGACTGCCCTAAGTTCATGGGATGCGCTAGGCTCTGAGTCGAAAGAGCATGGCTTCAAAGCGAATAATAATAATAAGTAATAATTGATGTAGCTGAACCAAGGGATGCTAGGGTGGAACTGAAGGAAAAAGGGAAAATTGACCTAGCAATATAATTGAGAAAACTGTGGAGAGTCAAAAACAAGAGTTGTTCCTTTTGGGGGCACTTGAGACAATCGCAAAAGGATAAGTTGGCCATCTTGAAAGCATAGGGGTGAATCTTGATTTGGTTCAAATACAGCAAGAATCCTCCGACGGGTTCTCGAGTACTAAGAAGGTTGTAGGATGTGGCTTGTACCGGGAACTGGTTATCAGTTGAACTCTGATAATATGTACATAATGATTTTAAAAATATTTAATAATAATTATAAAAATAATAATAACTTTGATACGTCTCTTAAAAGTACATGTATGATTAAAACTTAATTAGTTGCTAATCGATCACGTTTGATGATGTATGTTGAGGCATAGGAAACGTCATGTGTTCAAGTATCTTGTTTTTTTAAAAAGGAAAATGTTTTCGTCATTCCTAATATTTGTTACTATAGATCGTTTTGACCGTAAGGGACATTTGATTTACTACCTGCATGGACACTTATTAATTGTTTCAGGTTTGTTCCCCCCTGTCATTGAAGGCGGTATGACAAGCTGGTTCATTCAGGCATCGAATTCCCTCTGTTGGAGAGTACAGACGATCAATCTCCTGTTCAATGGTTTTACAGCGGAGTATCTTGATGAAGTGAAACCAGATATCCTTGTTTCTGAAAGGCAAGTCAGCTACCTTGACTTCACCTTGGAAATATAAGGTCTTTCCATAAGGCGCACCCCTTCATGACCCAGTATAACTTATGAATTAACTGCCGTCTCATATCGCCCTACTTTCCTAAGGAAATTCTGCTTCGCTGTTGCAAAACGTCCCGGACCAGCGCGCGGCTATATTGCCAGGCTATCACGAAAAGGGAGTTTTGGATAGAAAATGCAGCATGTTATTAAAAACACTGCCTTCTTATTTGGACAACATTGTCAACATTAACATTTTCAATCGCCTTAAAAGGAGCCCTTCCAAGTTTTTTTTCTACTCACTTAATTAGCTGCTGATGTTTCATTTGGATTGATGTTTGTCATGACTAGTACAAAATTTCGTTAGACTTTGACGACTTTGGCGAGTTTCTCATTGTAAATCGGCTCCTGTTTCCGCTTTTTCAAAACAATTAAAAAAATGAAATGTTCTGGAAGCAACTTTGAAGGAGTAGACTGAAAAAAAGAGACTTCAAAAACCAAGTGGCACAATTGCAATGATTTTAAAACACTTTGATTAACTGAATTTTTAGGTATGCCATTAAAAAGCGCCGCACTGGCACATTTCAAATGAAGGTGTCCTTGCTTGATGCCGAGGAGAGGAATCTTCCTGGAAGAAACTTTTATTACACCGGACAGCTCCCTCTTTCGTCGGAGCCACAGTCAAAACCGCCCCTGACGTCTGAAGAATGGATGTGGAGTATTGCAGGGCACATATTCTCTGGTTACCCTCCAGGTTTGCGATTCATTCGATTTGAGGACATAATACAAAGCGGTATACCTGGATTGACAACAATTAGACCAATCAGGAGAGGCTCTGGCCAAGCTGCTTCGGTGGAATTCGATCCATACGACGAATTGGCGCCCACCGATTGTTACAACATGATGGCGTGTGGAGCTTCTGTTAAGATTGCTCAGAAGTAAGAATTTGTGTTAATAGTTAAACTTCGATTAAAAAAAATCACTCAACATTAGCTTTCTTAGTATTATTCTATTTTAAAGAAAGCAACCAGTTTGTTTCAAGTTGGCCTTTTTCAGTATAAATTCGCAAATTCATCAAATTCATCATGAAAGAGGTTTGCAAACGGAAAGAAACGCAGTTCTCATGATTTGCGTTACGTCAAAACACCAACTTTGTCGACGGGTTTGGTCGTTTTCGTTTCTTATATTTTTCCATATTTTTCTTTCTGAACCATATAACGTTCACGTTTTAAACGAGTAATTGGTAAGCAGCGAATTCTACCTCATTTTGGAAATTCTGACCAATCCTGATAGCCTTACACACAAAAAAAAGTGTTACACCTTTTAGTCAGTCAGCCACAATTCCAAGGAAAAGAAAGGTGATAAAGCGGGAAACAAAACCAAATTGGAACATGAAAGGCAAACGAAGTTGAAAAAGAGAGAGCGAGAAAGAAAGATCGAAATACTGGTAGAATCGCATATTTATCCAATAAGCCCACAGTGTTGCAGGTCTTGTTTTTAGCCATTTTCGTGCTAAGTATTGGCCGAAAACAGGTAGAAAGGATGATTTGAAGATTTTGTTTTGTTTTGTTTTGTTTTTTTTTTCTACTAGCTGGCTAGCAATAGACCTTTCGTCCTTCTCCCTTTGGCTTCCTTGATTCAAACCTTCTGATTGTATTTCAAAGTACAAAAAACTCAAACAAATAGACACGCACTCTTAAGGTTGGAAGCCGAAAAAAGGTTCTGACTTTGCTGCCTCCATTTCTAAAAGCCCGTTCTATACTATCGATATTTTTTTTTTCAGCGTAAAAGGATAGAGGCTCGTTTATATAAGTTTCATTAATTGGCTGTTTGGTCTATTTTTACCACTAGCGAAGCTTGAAATCGTCCATTGTCAGCTCTGCACAAAATTATGGAGAAGCTCACTTCAAGCGGTTAACTTGGAGCTCTACGATGCAAGCCTTTTTAACAATAAGTACGACTTTATAATTAGCAAATGATTCAGAGTTGATAATATAGAAAGATCCAGAGAGGGTAGGAGATTATAATATCAGGGTTTTAAAAGGACGATTATGCTTATCATTAGCATCGTGAATCATAATCAGCGTCGTTATTAGCAGGGAACCCCTCCGTCTATTTCTTCCAACTGCTTTTCGTAAGAACGTTAACTTGGGAGAATTCTCTTGCTACTGCCCTTTATTCTTCCATAACAGTAAAAGAGTAGCATGTAGGCCTAAAAAAAATCAGTTTCTAAGAACGCATAAAAGTTATACGCACAAAAGTTATTGTTTAGTCTTGGTAGCAACATGTGTTAGGCTGATCTAATGCTTTTCAAGCTCCAAAGGTCGTCAATATATAGTTCTATTATACAGCCCTATGCGATGGCACTGCAATCGAAACATTTTCAAATTAAAAGAACCGGAATGAATCGAAAGATTTGACTGCACACCGTCTTCTGGAACGGACCCCCGTGTGAAAGGAATATGAATGCCAAAATTGGAATTAAAGCCCCAAATGAAACAATCTAGGCGTGGCTCAAACATAGTCATACCATTCTAAAAATAACTCCAAATCAGTAAGAGCTTAAAATTCCTTACGACGTGGTTACTGATTTCCTTATTCTTTTGTTCTGTTTTATTGTACTTTCTTTACTGGCTCTTCTCCCTGGACACCCTAGAAGATTCCGAAAACTGTATTTTGCATCCTGAAAAAACTACAGTATGCCTGCGTGTTTCATGTGGGTGTTTTTCCCCGGGCAACTAAAGTAGATTTTACTTTGTGGGTTGGAAAGAGACAAAATATTCTAAGTAACAGTAAAACGATGTAAAAAATCTTCATGTTTTCCCAAGTGATTACAAAATTAAAGTAAGCAGTTTTAGACGTTCCCTATGAGATAACTACGGAGACGAAGGATAGCTCGACGAACAAAGCGTTCATTGAAATTATTAAGTAGTTTATAGTAAAACCCCGTCGTAAAGGCTCTAAGCCTGCAAGATATATATGGCGAGAAATCTCTCTTAAATTTGCTTAACGCTCTTTTGAGAAAGAAGATTAAACTTCAGTTTTTACAATATTTTTAAGGTTTGTGTAGCAGTAGAGTCCTATTGTAGAGGCTCGCTTTTCTAAGCAAGTATCTAGACAAGCGATAACAAGATGACTAGATATATATATTTTTTTGAGTAATGTTTAAGATATATTATTATTCATTCAAAATATTTCCCCATTCTGATTGGCTAAAAGCACACGTTTGATTCACCATAACCAGTTACTGATGACCAAATTTGGAAGAATTTTGTGTTTAACGAGGAAATGACGTTAAAAATGCAGCGTTCTTGCAGGTAAGGCACCGTTAACCGAGAAGACACGAGGACGAGGTTGAGTTCTCTTGGTTGTGAAAACAAAAAATGGCGGACATTTCACTCGTTTCAAGAGTAAGAACTAGGCGAAATTATAGCTAAAAACATGGCAAGGACAGCAAGAACACAACTCGAAGGGCTACATCTGCTATTTGGAGAACACTTGCGGAGCTGAAAAACCCTTAACGTGCACTATCGACGGTGAACTTAACATCGATGGAGGTAAGCATGTTTTAGCTTTGTTTTTAAACTAGGAATTATATTATTTTGAATGAATAATAAAACAATTATTGAATTCGGCTTTCGTATCATATGAAGAATTATGGGGATCTCGGAGGGTGTTATCCGCCTCGGCCTACGGCCTCGACGGATAACACCCTCCTCGATCTCCATAATTCTTCATAAGATACTCAGCCTCATTCATTAATTGTTAAATTAATTTACACCAGATCATTTCTAACGAGAGAATGAACTGAGCTTTTTCCGGAAAGCTTATCTTCTGTAAATCTTTTGTGCACTATATTTTTTTTCTCCCCGTCTAATCTTTCCTCATTTTGATCATGTGAAATTAATATTTCCTACGCGCAAATTGACTGGCCCGCCAAGATTAACTCCAGCTACCTGTGGGCCAGTGCGCAATCTTGTAAAACTCAATAAGTGAAATAAAATAATAATATTGTTGTTTTTGTTGTTATATGATCTCCTGATAATATAATATTGGGGCGTTCTACCCCGTCTGCCATCGCAAGTTTGGCTTTCCTGCATGTTTACCGTGACATTGAGGCCCCGTCTAAATGAAAAAAAAAAATTTGTCGCGGGAAAGAGTGTCAGCCTCCCAACGAGTATATGAGAAAAAAAATTAGTCTTTCTGCCCAAGCTGAGAGCTGCCAACAGCGCTCGCGTATGCTCTGATTGTCGGTGTGTTCATATGGAGAAATGTTGGCCCAGCTCGTAAAGTGACCTTACCATCGAAAAAAGATGACCCAGCTAGGCGCGGTCCCCCTTCTATCCGAGCCAACTTATTTTTTTTTTCTCGTGTAAACGGCTCGCCGAGTGTTGTAAAGAAATTTTTGACATGTTGGGTCCCCCAGGGTAACTCGGGTAAGCGAGTGACCCTTCTACCGGTACAAGTTTTCTCCATTTAAATGGGGCCTAAGTTAATGGTTCTGATTTAAAAGGTGTTGTGTCCGACGACTACGCCTCAGCCGATTTCGGATCCCCGCCCAAACCTTAACCAGGACATCACGTATTTTAACCCCCGGGCGTACATGCAAATTCATACCTCCACCGTGGTACAAGGGGGGGGGGTGGATGGACCTCCAACTCTCTACAGTTTTTGGTATGCTGCAGTATTTTGAAACCATTTTCCCTTCAGTGGAAGGCCTTTACTTTGATATTCTCTACAAGCTAAGGTATATTTCGTGGGTGGTTTCGCTGCTGGGGGCCTGTGACGTCACCAATAATGGTCGCCATCTTGGCCGCCATCTTAGATTTTATCAAGAATTAAAAATCAGGTAAAAACAGTGAGAATTAATATTTTTGCGCTTAACATGTAAAATAACACATAAATAATTACTGTGCATCATTTTATCCACAAGATTTGCTATTATTGTTTAAAAGGGTGAAAAAAAAAACATGTCTTTTCACTCAAAAATGGCTTGACTACCTCCTATTTAAGACGTCATATCTCGTAACCATAGAAACTGACTATCACTGAACTTATATCAAAATGCGCGCGAGGGATAAACGAACAGAGAACAGAGAACTTCAGGTGCTGATGTTTTATCGTCTTGAAAAAAACATGGTGTTGTTCTAGTGCTGTCATTCATGTTTTGATTCTCAGTCATTTGATTTTCATCATGCCATGTGGCTTTTTTTTTCTTTCCTTAAAAAATGCCGCGCGAATGAAATCACGTGCTTTAGTTCTTGTTTACATGGAGGTGGGGGACCCCAGATAGGTGAGGTAACATTTGGTGGGTCACCCCACCTATCATGTAAACGTGATCAAAATAAAATGAAAGATGATATGGACAGGCGGGTTACCCCCACCTAAGCGGTTTACTGCAGCTACATGGGGTTCTCCACCTCCATGAAAACAGCTCCTTAGATGATGGTGTTTGGATTGCGTCTGTTAACACGTTTTATTATACATCAGACTCACTATGAAAAATCTGATTGGTCGAGAGCATTCAATCAATTCACAATAGCTTGAGAACTTGACATGATAAATGCAATATCTGCTGCAGATATTGCATTTATCATGTCAAGTTCAACGTCTGCCTGGTTACCAAACCCCTTGGAGTGTTCTCCTCAGAGACAGAATGGCTGAATGTCTTCTTTTGCCTATTGTTTAAAAAATGTGTAATAAAACAATTATTGAATTCGGTTTTCGCATGATATCATGAATTATCAAAACCTCGTGTCTGTATTATCTGCCTCAGCCTTCGGCTTCGGCAGATAACACAGACCTAAATTTTGATAATTCATGATATCATGCTCAACCTCATCCAATAATTGTTTAATATTATTCATCCTTGTCAAAAAGAAATTACGTAAAAGAGTTGCCTTTTATTCTACTGACAATCTCGTAACTTTGCTGAAAAGCCTTTTTGGAATATTAAATTTGGGTGTTACTTTTTTTTGTAACGTTTGTAATTTGTAGTTTAAGCGCAACCATGCACGCACTACGCAGTTTGTGAAGACTGCGGAATTTAGTTTAAGGCAGGGAAAATATAAATTGAGTTATCTTAGGCCCGTTTCAAACGTCGTGCCACTGCCGTGCCGAACTCAAATGATCGAATTAAATTCCCCTTTAGCACGGCAGTTGCTAAACCGTATCTTTATTTTTGTGTTTTGTTTTCGACAACAGCCGTTCTATTCGAATGAATTAAATTAGACGTCTGAAACCAAGTCGCGCTAGTGTCGTGCTGCAGTCTAGCTACAGTCGAGCCACTGTTAGCGCGGCAGTAGCACAACGTTTGAAACGGGCCTTAACTGCTTAAGAAACCAAACATGTACCTTTCAGTAAAGTTTACTATCAGATTTCTAGTTCAGAAGGAACGGTTTATAGTCTTGGTTTTGTAAAATGTTTGATGAATTAAAACCAGCTTTTAAACGTTAAATTTAGCTTCCAATAGATTATTAAAGGGGACCGACCAGGTGATGGGGACCAGGTGATGAAGACAGGGTGAGAATTTTTTCCAAGCCAACTTGTAGCTCGAAACAAGAGCCTTTTCCTTAAGAAAACTTGCAAGAATTATGTCCGGTCATAGGATACTGTACGTCCGTAAGGTTAGTTTCGACTGTGGTTAAATTCTCTGCTATAGCGGCTACAAAATAACGTGCACATACGCAAAAATTCTCAAAGCTATATATTCAATTAGCATAACAATAACTTGGTGAACCGTACTCTTTTGCACCTTTTCTTGCTTGCACTGAACGCTCAACGTTTACATATTTTTATTTTATTATTTTTTTAAACGTAACTTTGGTTCTTAAGACCTGCCGTCATTTGTTCAGTTTGAATGTCCCCAGTGAACGCCGGCGGTTATGTCCTACTCGCGACGGTGCATTACAGCGAAAATAATAGTTCTAGTCAATTAGAATGAAATCGTTAATCCATAACCAATGACACAACTCTAACACAGGCGCATTTGCAAAGTCAGATTATTTGCAAGTGATTATCAAACTGACCACCTGCTGGGAAATTATTTGCGGCTAGAAACAAACAGTTGCTCAACAACTAAAATCACAAACTCCCTTTTCCGAACGTTCGACTTTTTCTTCTCGCTCTAAAATTTATCAAATGGCCGCAGTGTACATCCCAGTTTTTATTTTCGGTGTTGCATTGGGTAGGCTGATCCCGAGGTAGGTTCTGACGTTGCTATTTAACTGAACTTAACTTTAACTAAAATGAAGACAACTTGAGTAGTAGACTAACTGTTCTTCTTTGCCTTTTTGCTTTGTATGTCCAAATTTGACTGAGAAATTATCAGGAACTCAGTGTTCATGTTGGCCTTAGAAACCAAATGAATCTATCAAAGAGTAAAATGAGGACTACTTGAACTAAAGGCTAATAACGTAGGCCGTGAGAAAAAACCTGAATCCACTTCAATAGTGCTCAGATGTTCGTCACTGTCATTGTTTTTGACAAAAAACGTTATTGATTAAGCTTGAATTTTAATCTAGATCGCCTTCGCAACAGGAATAGATTACCAAGCTAATAGTGAAACAAATTTAGGGAATTGTGGTGGAGGAGGTTATTTTTCCTGGCGCGATTATCCTCCACTTCCACCAATAGGACGTTGAACACTGAGAATAGTGTTGACAGAAAATGAATTTATTAGAATATACCAATTCCAGGCCAATCAAATAAGCTTAAGTAGCCTGTCCAATATTTTGCCTTATTCCATTTCTAAACTCCAAATTTCCACAGGCAATGACTAAACACGAGGGCGACCTGGAAGAGGGAGAGAAATTTGGCAAACGACAAATAAGCTGAATAATTAACAAGGGAACTTTTTTCGTCTCGTTCGCCTTTTGAAAGGGATTTTTCATGTCGACATCAAAGATTTATCGTTTGTTTGATTTTTTTTCTTTTAATGAGATTGTCATGTCATGTTTTACCACTTTCGCCTAAAGATGCGATTGTAATTTCAGTCAGATTGATCTGCAGCTAGATACATTGCTCACTCATAGGTGAGAATCATTATTATCATCATCATCATCATCACCATTATCATCACCATCATCATAACGAACACATTTCTTTCTAATTATATTTTCATTTTGTTAGAGAGTAGCAGGGTTGTGCTAATGTAACTTACAGTTAAAGCAGAATATTTTGTTGTCCTTTGTACCCATGAACAAGATGTGCCTATAAATAAGCGGTTGGCATGGGTTTATATTGAAATAACACGACGAAACTCCGCAAAATATGTAAACGAACAATCTTTAATTTAAAGATCTTTTGAAACTGTTCTGCAGGAAATTTAGCTTTTCCAGAAATTTGGAGCGGCGAGTATGAAAATTGTAACTTAGGACCTGCTCCGACAGTATGAAGTGATGAAAAGTCTCAGAAGGGCAAGACGATTTATTTAAAAGAGAGACTTACAATTTTCTGTAACTGAGTATCAGTACTGGCTTGCTGCATTACAATTGAAATCACTCTATTGCCTTGTCTCCAAGTTTACTTCATGACTACAATCAGTTAATATGGGAAATTTTTGTAGCCGTTTGTCTTGTCTTAATAGGTCGTTAGGAAAGGAAGGCCTGTGCAACACAACTTTGTTTGAAACAACCCGAGATCTGGTTTATTGCGTCCAAACGGGCATTCACTATGACAAGACGCGCCGGCCAAATTCGCCTTCCCTTAAGGGTAAGCAGATAGATTAATTACTACTGAATCATTCCCCAAATACATTATTTACCATTGTGGAACAATTGATATCAGCGGCCTTCTGCCCCCAGTCGTTCAAAAGCTGTATAGCGCTATCCAGCGGATAAATCACTATAACCTACGTGTTGAATTTAACCCACCTAACGAGGACGATTAACTCACTAATCGGGGGAAAAATTTTGTCAAACAAACAAAATGGCGGACTTGCTGTCTTCACAAGTACGAAAAAGAAAGTTCCAACAACGAGAAATTGACCTCGACCAACTAACAGACGAAGAACTTCAAAGCATATATAGTTTTGACCGAGAGTCAATAAAGCATGTGCTAGAAATCCTAAAAGACGACCTCCAAAGGCAGACGAGAGGAAACAATGCGCAGTCGCCAATTTTGGCGCCAATATTTCACGCCATTTTTACTTGGAAGCAGGTGGTGGAAATCTCGTTGAACCGGCTTTTTTTAGCACTAATCTGGGATTAGTTTATTGCGGGATAATTTCGCTTTCAGGAAAAACTTTTTGACCCATGATTAGTTATCCAGGGAATAAGAAATTTAATCGTGGATTAACTGCTAATCGGAGGATCAGGAATCGGGGCCAGGTCTACAAGATAATCATATGCCGCGCGTACTACACCTTTGGGACCGGCACTAAGTGTCTGTCTTAGAGAGGTGTCCGTCTTATAGAGAGTGAAATAAAGCGAGTAAAGAAAGGCAGGGACCAACTCTAGGTGTCCGTTTTACAGAGGTGTCCGTTAAGAGAGAGTCGACTGTAGTTGATAATATGGTACTGCTAAAAGAGGACGCTTTCTTTGGTTATTCGATCTAATTCGTGCAAGTTCATCAGCGATCGAAACAAAAATCCAACGGTTTTACTTGCCATATGTTGATACGAGTTCTAAAAAATAGATAGCAAATTAAGGCACTTATTTTCTTTTTCCCTCGATGTATAAACGTAGCTTTAATTTGAAGCAACACAAATTCTGGTAAGTAAACCTAATCAGCAGTAAACTTTGGTAGCTCTTGTGTTTCTCCTAATGAAACATAGGGGTTTTCATTTTCTCTTCTTTATCTTCTTTCTGACCAATAATAATACTAAAAAAGTTTGACATTTTTTTCACTCAGATGGTCCAGTCATCGTCAACGTCTCCATTGATATAGCATCACTTAATGTTGATGCTGATGACATGGTAAGCACTATTTTTTCATATCCGCCCAGGCTGTTTGTGGTGGCCCAGCCAATAGTTGGAATTTAGCTGTTGTAGGCATGTAGCTTTAGAGGTGGCCGTTAATAAAGGTTATACTGGATTCCGAAAACCGCGCGTAGGGCAAACACAAATTAATTTAAACCAGTATCTGCCGAAGTATTTGGTCAGTTTAAATTCATTTGGTTTCTTTTTTCTTAAATTAGTGGCCAAAAAAAGCCTGGATTACATACCATTCATAATGAATTTGATAAAATAATGCTAAATTAAGTGCAATATGATTATCATAATTCGATAAGTAAAAATAAATATAATACTTTTTTATAGAAAAATGCAAATTTTAAGAAACATCCAACAGTTTTGAAGTCATCAAATTTTCAGTGAGTGGGGTTATGGACGCAAGGAATAAAAACAAATATAATTTTTACACTTGACAGTGGAAATGATGGAAAGTTCGAAAATTTCCTAGCTTGAAACAAATAATAATAATAATAATAATAATAATAAAAATAGTAACAACATATTTAACCAAAGTAAACCAGTCAGCTGACGCTGTTATAAATGGGTAACTGAAAATAAAAACTAAAGGAAAAATAACTATAACAGATCAAATTTTAGAAAATTTAAAAACTGTGTACAATGTCGGTGAATAAAAGCTAAGAATTATACAACTTCTTAAATTTAAACTCTAAAAAACTTTAGAAGATTTACCAGAAAAAAATAATATCATTAAGCTGTGTTTTAAAAATCACCAGAGTCAACTTCCTTTAGAAGCGGTTGCAAAAATCGTTCCTTAAGTAATTTTAAACAAAATCACTGCAGAAACAACAAAACGGCTCTAACTGAAAATCCATTTCCGACTTCCATTTTTTCTTGATACAAGAACTGGAAAAGTTCATTATTCCGTTTGCGGTACGTATATATTCATCATTTTATCGTTCCCGGGTATTCTATGAACAAATTTAATGACCTCCCAGTTCACTTGCTAGCTTAATTGGTTCGAGCGCTGCACCGGTATCGCAGATGTCAGTGTTCAAATCCCGGCAAGAATGATTTTTTTTTTCAGTTTTTCTTTTCGCAGCTGCATAAGTTGCGTTTTTTAATGCGATTTGCTTTGCCTTTATTACATGTGACTGTACGTACTGCGGTTAGGCTTTCTCCCTGGAGCTCTTCTTCAAGCAAAGCTGGCACGATCCCAACCTGGCCTACGCTGAAGACCAAACAAGAGAAAAGAAGTTCATAGTTTTCAAGGCTGATCTTCTCAAGGACCTATGGACTCCTGATACGTACATTTATGGCATCAAGTCCATGCAAACCGTACAGACAGAAAACGCACTGCCTACCAGTGAGGGATTACGTATTTCACCTGATGGTAGAATTCTATTTGTAACAAGGTTTGTGCATCTACCTCTAGTAGTAGTGGTTTGCTTTATTTGCTTGGCCTTAGCATTTTACAACATTGGAAAAGCTTCTTTATAGTAACTAATTACCAAACAAAGCTAACAGACAAAAAAAACAATGTGATTTGATTTACTGTCTTTCAAAACCGCAGTATTAATACAGTGGTGAATTATTAACAATTATTAATAAGTAGTTGTTGTTGTTGTTGTTTTTTTCAGACTAAGTATGATATTAAGGTGTTCCATGAATTTCCGGAATTTTCCGATAGACAAGCAGACGTGCTATTTGAACCTTACCAGTTGTGAGTATCCTGTTTGAATTTCTTTGAAATAAATAGCCTATTTAGAAAAGGAAATCCACGAATAAACAACAAACGAAGAAAAGAACGAATCAGTCAATCAATCAATCAATCAATCAATTGAATGTTGATATCGATTAGCAAATAGCTAGCTCTGTGAATTGTGGTTCTTTTTCAGTCTAGGCCAATTAAATCATTCCTGGCTAAATAAAACCAGTTTTTAAATAGTCGTGAATTCTTGGTTTTTCAGTGGATCAATTGGATCCTGGCTCTGGAAATAGGCACAAAAAATAACATTTTATACACTCCGGCATCATCCCCAACCTCTTCGCCATGGTTTTTCCCTTAGAAAATGGGAGGCCAGACGTGGGATCGCTCCTCCAGTTTTCCAAAAACAAAGGCCTGGGGACAAGGTTGCAGTGGCGGATCCAGGGGAGGGGCCCGCCACCCCCCCCCCCCCCCATATTTTTAGACCAAAATGAGGCCCGAAGGGCCGAAAAATGTTTTTGTGAGGACGCCACCCCCCCTCTATGTCAGGGCCTGGATGGTCGCCCCCCCCCCACACCCCTCATCTGAAGGTCTGGATCCACCACTGGGTTGTTTTTGTGAGGACGCCCCCCTCTATGCCAGGGCCGGGATGGTCCCCCCCGCCCCCACTCCCTCATCTGAAGGTCTGGATCCACCACTGGGTTGTTTTTGTGAGGACGCCCCCCCCCCTCTATGCCAGGGCCGGGATGGTCCCCCCCCCGGCCCCCACTCCCTCATCTGAAGGTCTGGATCCACCACTGGGTTGTTTTTGTGAGAACGCCCCCCTCTATGTCAGGGCCTGGATGGTCGCCCCCGGTCCCCACTCCCTTATCTGAAGGTCTGGATCCACCACTGGGTTGTCACCATTCCTTGTCTTTGGTTCAAAGTAATTCAGTAGGGACTTATGCTATGGGCTAGTCTTCTTCATATGGAAAGATAGCATTGATCATACAGCTTTATTGTCCGTTTTATTCTAAACAAAATTGTTCTTGCCATATTAGACAGGAGCAGTACATGTAACGATAGTTTCTCAGTGTATGTGATATGTCGAATTGACCAATTTCGATATATTAAAACTCATACTTGGTTACGAGGCTTAGGGGAATAAAACAAAAGAAATGTATCATTAATTGCTGAACGTCAAGATAAATATTTTAATTCCCCTAGTCCTCAGAGCCAAGTATGAACAACCTTTAGTCAAAAATAAATTCGCAAAAAAATTGTTGTTTACAAAAATCGTTGTTAGCCGTTGATTTACACAATTTCACACACACACGCACACAAAATTACAAAAACTTTACCTTGTCGCAATTAAAACGCCTTGGGGTGAACAAAACCTCTTAGTGCAAATCTATTCCTGAAGATTACCGTAATGATTCGATTTAGCGCCGGGGGAGCTAAATTTACTTATGGTACCTCAAGGGAGGGCGCTTATTAGGGACGGGGTGCTTATTTCGTATTTCGTTTTTCATCAATAAATAAGCTTAGGGTGCAGCTCATGCAGGTGATTTGCTCACGGCTTGATGTACTACTTAATCTCAATGTACGTGTACTCTAACAATGCTATCACTGTAAAAAAAAAAAAAAAAGAGGGGCGCTTATTAGAGCAGGGGTTCTTATTGGCATGGAGTACTGGGCGCTTATTGGAATGAGGATGCTTACGCGATAGAGGTCCTAATTAACAAAATTATACTTGAAGTGTGACATTAAGTAGGAGAGGGAGCGATTTTTGGAACGAAGACGCTAAATAGAACCATTAAGATTTAATCTGCGCACATACAGACACCGAGAGCAAGGCTCAGATCCAAGAGACCGAGGTGTCGATTTACAGAGGCGGGGTTTGGTATCTTGGGGCAGAGAGAACTTTCAGTTCTGGAAGGTGTCAATATTATAAGGGCGTCAGTCGAACCTCTAAATACAAATTTGACCCATAACTCTAAGATAGAAAATAATCAACAGATCTCATTATTTTATAAACAGTTTTTCACACAGCTGATGATCTCTCGTACGAATGGAAGGATGTTACCATACAGGACAAAAATATCGCCCACTTTGAACTTATTTCCTTTCACAACAGGAAAGCTATAGAGGAGTTCGCCACAGGTAGTATTGCCCACATTTTGCGTACTTCAAATAAAACGTCGGCTTATCACGAAGTCATCCCAGGTTATTCCTGGTTGGTGGGGGTATGCCGCATGTTTCCAGAAACCCTTACCCTGTTTCCGACCAAATTATGTGGTTTCCCTACCCTAGTGTGTGTTTGAAAAAATGCTACGAAAGCAAATCAAATCCTCAATCCCACCAACAGTTAAAATAAATTTAATGAAATACTACTAGATTAAGTGTAAAAGTAAAGTTAAATAAATAAAGATAAAAAGAAATCCTTTCTTAGGAAAAAAGCAAATTTTGAAAAACACGGCTGTCAAAACTCGGTTACCATGGTCAATGTTGACGTACAAGTCACGATGACTTTAAAATATTTCCAGATATTTTTTTGGTGGACATAGCTTGAACGGTTTTGAAGTTATTAAGGGGGCCTCAAACAACCCCCTCCCTCTTCCCCTTGTCTGAATAAGGTTAATCGATTTAAAAGGTCTAACCACATAATGATCGTATCACTTATGCATTTTATTAACGTTTTTCATAGGCAGGTACGAAAGACTTACAATGACATTTGAATTCAAAAGACGTATAAACTTCTACCTATTGAGCTGGTACCTTCCCGCAACACTAATCGTTGTTCTTTCGTGGGTGGGTTTCTGGATCGATATCGAATCGACACCTGCCCGGATTTCACTTGGAACGATAACCATATTAGCAATAGGCGGCTTCCTAATCGGAGAGCAGGAAGGATTTCCGAGCGTCTCTTACGTAAGGGCAATTGATATCTACCTCATCGCGTGCTTTGTGTTTGTGTTTGGTTGCATGGTAGAATATGCGATCGTTCACTGTGCAAAGAGATTAGAAGAAGAGAGTGAACAACAAAAGAAAAAGGGCAATAAGGTAATAGTAAGTTTGTGGATAGTTATTGGTCAAAACGACTTATTTAACTTAGATTTTTGAATACAAAAAAACGTAAAAATGGTCATGTTATGGCAGCGGGAATTGGACGAGTGACCCCTCGCTTCGTCCGCTCGAGGATATGAGTTTTCACAACATCGCATGAGCGCAACTTTCATGTCTCAGCAGACTGATTTCACAGTTGATCGGTTGTTCTAAGAATAAAATAATTTAATATTGAGAATATATTTTTGCCTTGTCCTATTAAACAATCAATAAAATTAATAAAACAGGGTCAGAAAGACAAACTGCCCCAGGGGATACTCCGGTACACAAAAGAAGGAAGGTGTTCTCCTCTTTTGGATCAGGGCTAAAATTCATTTTCACCCCACCAGTCCTTTCGAGGAAGGTAGATGAGAAAAAAGCGAACTAAGGGACCGGTCATTATTTATCGCCTGGGGCGGATGGGGGTGGGGGGGCCGGGCGGTTTGGGATTTGGGGCTAAACAAGATGAGATTTAGTCGATCCCCTAAGCAGTACCAATCCACAAAATTTTGCCTCCTAAAAGGTTTCACCAGAATACGATAAGGAGGCGACAAGGTTTACAAGCAACCGGTTAATTTCATATAGGAATATCCACCGGTAATCTGCACATTCTTTCAGTGGGTTAACTACCTGAACGAACTTACTTTTGATTTGTGTCATATTCTTAGGTAGAGGACACCATTCCTTGTGAATCCGATCGAAATAATGGCAAAACGGAGGAAAATGGTTTGGGTGGAATACTGAACGTAGGTTTCGTGGAAGTAATATCTCCGGTGTCAACACAGAACGTCTTACCGTGCAACAACAACCGGTCTTCACGGCCTACTATCACAGAAGATGCATCAGCATCAAAGACAAGCTTAAGTCTGTTTAGTTATTGCAAGAACCGATTCCAGAGAAAGGTTATCTTTAAGTGGCTGCTGAAACTTGATGAGATCTGTCGACTGATTTTTCCATTGGCTTTCTTGGTGTTGGCTATTTCATACTATATCACATTTGGGGATTTTTAATGGCTACATTTTGAATGGCCCTTCTAGCATAACCCCGGGTTCATTAGAGGTCTTTTAGGAACTCGATTTTTTTGGCCGGTGGTGCACAGTTCAGTTAGCACTGAATTGAAATTCAGACTGGACTGAACGCAAAGAGTTTAAGGCAACAGGCGTAATCTTTGACGTGTGAGAGACATGGGTAAGAATTAGTCAGAAATTAATATCCTGACTGCTCGGTTAAAAGCGCGCGGGGGGTGTTGTATAGTTTGGCGCGAGATTGGTGCCATTCTACGTCAGCGTTCTCGTTTTGTTTTGTAAAGTTTCCTTTCCCATGTTTCATATTCTTTCGAGTTCGGAATAACCATATTTGGGTACCTGTGCAGTACGTTGCCCAGTATCCGGCCATTTCAGTTCAACATTGCAGCAACTTTCCAAGAGTTCTGAAATTTGGCCCAGAGACAATCTATTTAGTCCTCAAAATGGCGATTTTTTTGGCCAATATTGTATTCAAACACTATCATCACAATTTGTCTATGAAAATTAGTAGTGAAAGAACTCGTTTTTCATTCATGAGCGCTCATTTAAAAGCCAAGAAAAAAAAATTGTTTTTAATGTTGTAAGACAACTTACTTTAGCGTCAAGACGACTTGTCAAACAAAGATTGCAATTATTGTTTAAAACGTAACCTCCACTCTAGCATCAACTAAAAGAGCAAAGTAAACGACTCCAAAACGCAGAAAATTACTTGCGTTTGTGAAAACAGCTAGTACGATCAACATTGTTTTTGTTTTTGTTTTTTTTTTTCTTTCTTTTTGTTTGTTTTTATTTTTGTTTTGTTTGGTTTGGTTTTTTAATTGTGCTGGGGGAAACTGGTTTTTGGAGGGGGAAATCTGAGCTGTGAAATGAGATTGTTAATCTCTCCCGTCTTCTTCAGGACCATCCGAAGCCTTTTCACATGACGTCACGTTCCCATGCTAGTGTTCCAAACCAATCCTGTGGGTGTTGAACTTTACTCCAATTCTCCACCCCTTCCATCCCTGACATTTTATGGTCCTTCCCCCCCCCCCCCCGAGCCTCGCGAGGTTCTGCGATACACGTATTTCTAGTGTCTAATGTAAACGCTTTCTTTTGTCGCAATAAATTTGGCATGTATAAATTCAGCGCAATTTCTGTAACGGAGTCAAGTTGAGCCCTGCCGATCTCTAAAGTTGATAATCACATATCGGATAGAAGTTTATTACACCGTATAACTTTACATGTCGCCAAGAAAAGCTATCCGTTATAGCGTGAGTGCAGATTACCAGCAAGTAGGGTACACCAGGAGAGGGGGGCGGTGCTCTCATGTGAAAGGGGCGGGGATGCTCGACGTCTCGCTCAGGCGTGTAAATTTCGGACTTTGGTCTCACTTAGGGTGTACGGCTAAATATAATAGCGTTTTGCCCAGGAAAGGTCTCTTTTAGTTTTGCGCGCGAAGAAATGTAAAAAAATATATTCTATTTTTTCAATTCGCTTTATTTACTCGATTCATGTACTCAAAGTTTAAAATGGCCTCTTTTAGGGGTTAAAAAAAGGTTGGGCCACGCCCAGATTGGCCACCTTTAGGGGTTTAATTCAAAAATTCCGACGAGCATCCCTACCCCTTTCTTATGGGAGTCCCCCCGAGACTGTACATATGGAGTGATAATTTAAAAACATCTGCAGTCTACGAATTCTTTATCTCTACATACTCAACAGGTCGTGTGATGATGAATATTACATATTTCTCGGAGCGTGATCGAATTGTTTTGACTTGTGCATGTCGTCTGATCTACTCTAGCCTTTAGTTATTCAACAGTTCAAATAAATAAATAAAAATCAAAGAATACCCTGGGAGCAAACGAGAGGCATTGATTGATTACTGCAGAGTTATTGTATGCCAAAACGGACTTGAACCTTGCCTTAGGAAGTGAAACAATGACAAAAGTGCGGAGAATTTGAAATGTAACATGTCTCTTCATGCGCCATCACAGTATGAAGTGTTTATAAGGTCATAAACAGCCTGTCGGATGAAAATTAAGCCTTTTTGGCAACTAAGCATGGAAAAGAAGACTCAAAAGCAACGCTTCCCTTCTTTTGCAACCACAATCTCTGCATTAGGTATTATTTTGTACTGCATTGGCTTTTTAAGAGTTGAAATAGAGTTGAACAATCAGAAGGAGAGATTATTCGCGCTTGAAAACGTCGCGGAGCGGACAAAACCACCATTCAGCGATCAACGTATCGTCAAGATCATCAAGGATGTTCGCGGTATGTACTTTAATTTTTGATTTGACTCAGCTTAGAAAAAAATAGTTTTCTTCTCGCAAAGAACATAACATATATACTGTAAGTATGGCTCAGCCTGACTTTTGATTAACCCCTTTAACATCCATAGTCTATTAACGCTTCCCCCCCCGGGGGGGGTGGGTACTCGATATATCCTTGGGTGGGGAGGTGCGACCCTGCCCCTCATACCCTGACCTTGTTTAAGACAAAAATCGATGATTTTCCTAACAGAATTTCGATTTTTGATACCCTGTTTAAGAAATTCGTAGAACATACGCGCAGGCTGTTTATCGTCCAAGAAAAAATACCGTGTTTAAGACAAAAATTGATAAAATCGATACCCTGATTAAGACAAAAAAATAATGAAATCGACACCCTGTTTAAGATAAAAAATCCCGAAAAACATACCCTGGCTGGCCGCACGTCCCCATTAAGCCCCTATAGGGGAGTGCACCCCGCCCCCGGGCTCATACCCCTCTACAATTGCCAAGATTTTAACTGTTCCGCCCTAATGACCAATCAAGCATGGATTATTTGCCTTACATAGAAAATTACATTAACAGTAGCTACTGCTAATGAAATAAGATGCATAAATTGAATTCTTCGTTAAAAATACAGTGGTTGATTGGCTTACATATCAATGCATACATCAGCATCGGGTGACTTCTGCTTTGGCTCTGGCACCGGATGTTCAAAAGTTGGAGAACGATATCCACTGTATACATCACTATCAGGTGGATAACGCCATTGGTTTCCCTAATACTTATCTGCCAGATAGTGATTTATCCGGTGGATAGCGCTATGTAGCCTTTGGACAACCAGGTACTGGTCTATAAAGCAGATTTATTGCAAATTTTGCACTTATAATATTTTATTATATACACCCCGCTATAATTGATTGCGAAATGCATTATATCTTGAGCCAGGGAAAGGAATAACAAACAAATCGTGAAATTAGTATGTAACATAGAACTAACAGAAGATTTAACGACTTCCTAATGATTCTCAATTTGTGACCCTTCCCGGAAATTATATGCTAATTTTGAACTATCAAAGCTTATTTACGTTTCGGCTGGCACTAATAGACCTATTTATATATATCGAAATCCCTACTTGGCTCCGAGGCTTAGGGGAATAAAACAAAAGAAAACATCTTGAGGCTCAGCAATGAATAATGCATTTCTTTCGTTTTATTTCCTCAAGCCTCGTAGCCAAGTATGAATTTTAATATATCGAAATTTGTCTATTAACAATATAATTCATTAATTTTCTCAGCGAAATCTTACGATTCTGAACAACATAGAAGCAAGCGCCAAGTAGTTGCAACCAACACGACGAGCAAAGCTAAAACACCAGAGGACACCTTAAAAGAACTAAACAAACTGTTATCAGCGGGGACACTGCGCCTTTGCAACTCAAAAGGTGACTCTTGTCAGTCAGGTCCCCCAGGCCCTCCCGGTCCACCTGGACCGAGAGGAGAGAAAGGAGAGCAAGGGCGAACAGGAGAAAGGGGGACACCAGGAAACAAAGGAGACAAAGGCCTTGTGGGATTACCAGGGGAAAGCGGCAAGCAAGGTATAATGGGAACTGTAGGACCAAAAGACGACCCTGGACTTAAAGGGCGAAAAGGAGACATGGGACCCGCTGGCGTGCCGGGACCCAAAGGAGAACCCGGTGAATCGATTACAGCTCCAGTTGTTGCAGTCTCTCCTGCAAAGTTGATAGTAAACAAAAGTGGAACAGCTTCATTTCAATGTTCAGTGAGCGGTAATCCTGAGCCTACAGTAGCGTGGAGTAAAATGGACAATCAGTCGCAACTACTTCACTCCATGGGTTCAAGAGGACAGTTGCTTTTATCAAAAGTAACAGGAAGTAACACTGGAACGTATTTTTGTTCAGCAGCAAACATTTTAGGGAAGGCGCAGGCACAAGTGCAGCTTGTAGTAAATGGTATGACTGTGTACTATTAAATTCAATATTTGGTTTTGTTGCATTCACATTAAACGAGCAAAAGATCGATTCTTGGAGGCTTCAGTATGAGGTTTTTCAAAGTATGTCGGGGCAGGATCCTAGCCCTCGAATGTTACCATAATTTGTCTTGGTTGGTGGGTCAAAAATGAATTGTTATTTATTCATTATTTAGTTTTTTATTTATTGTTGCTTATTTTTTTAAAGTACTAGAACAAGCCAAGCCCATTCTTTTCTTATGAACTACGCTGATAAAAGTTCCATCTCATTTAAAATGCCCAACTAATGCTTTTCTGCACACTAAATAAGGGTCAGAGCATACTTTAACGACTTACACTGTATTAGCTAGCCAGTAATTGTTATTTATTTATTGTGGTTTTTACCTGCTGTTGTTACTCATCGTCTCAATGTTAGGATTCATGACCATAAACATTGGAGAGCTTTTGCAGCTACATTTTGTTTATGATTTTTTTTTTTTACCTTTTTCTTTTTCTTTTTTTTTTCGAAGAGATTACAATTTTTCTCAGTCATTTTAACAGGATCACTGTTTGATCCTTTTTGTTGTTGTTTCAGTTCACCCTCGAATGTTCCTTCATCCGGGACCTCATTACACCGTTGAAGGTAAGAACGTCAGCCTTCCAATCTGCCACGTGATTGGTTACCCTCAGCCTGTGGTAACCTGGAGTAAGTTGCATGTCTGGCCAGTTACCCCAGGTTAGAGTGAAGACTAACACAAGTGCTTTAACTATATTTTTTGCGCACGAAAGAATGATTCCGACACTTACTTCTGCTCAGCAGTAAACCTGTTGGGAAGTGTTGAAAAGAAAACGTTGCTAGTAGTCAGGGTCCCTGTTCCTAAGTTCACCGGTAAGCCGCCTGTCAAAATCTTTGCAGCGACTGGTGAGACTTTGGAGTTAAATTGCACCGCTGCCGGTGATCCAACACCAGTTATCAGCTGGAAAAATCAAGGATCTCAGCTGCCTGTTGGGCGAAGCCAACAGATGAATGGCACATTAATTCTTAGAGGTTTAACACTGAACGATGCAGGAAACTACATTTGTGTGGCAACAATGACAAGGGAAAATCAAGTTGAAACGGTGACAAACGTTGAAGTGTATCAACCAATAGCTAGAGGTTTGTTTTTAGACTGCATCCATTGTGTATACTGCAGGGAGGGGGTGGGTGGGGAAAAGGGATATTTCTAAAAGGGGAAAAATTCTTTTCATATCCTCCCCACACACATCATACAGGATTTTTTGACATTCCTCTTCTTGAACAATAGGGAAAAAACCCCGGTATTAGTAAAATTTGGGCAATATGATGAAGTGGTGCAGAAATAAATGTTGAAATGAAATAGAGAACTGAAAATAAAAGGTGACAAAGTGGTCACAGATGTTAGTATTTCTCGTCTAGATTTTAAATCAAAGGAAGTTTTAAGAAATTAACGCCAGCTGTGGCTCACTGAGAAATTGCATGCCGAGGCCATGTGGCAGTTTAGGGTCAATAATATTGCAAACTACGTGTACCAAAATAGGTTACATTTGTATTGGGGAACATAGACAAGCAAAAGATCAAGCTCAAGAGAAAAAAAGACAAACAAAAGAATGAGACATTGAATGGCCTGCCTAAACAATAAAGCACGAAAAGAAAAAGGAATTGCAAGTCAGCCTGCTTCCGAAGAAAGGTCCACATTCGGGGGGAGTTGGGGGGGAAGGGTGGGGGAACTCAAAAAGTTTTATACGCCCCGAGGTCTAACCCCTTACCATTTTTATGCCATTTTTGACAGAAAAAGTACCCCTTCCGTATACCTTACATTGACGAATAAAACCCCTTTTACATATTTGGTTAAGAACTTTGCATCCCTTTAACTGAAATCTCTACCTTTTCATACCTGAAGCCTGAAAAATGTGATCTATCTGACTTTATCAGGCTTGCAAATAAACATTTGCTTTTCTCTGAAATTAAATATTTGATTAATGTTTTTTTTTCTTCTTTCCTTTCACATCAGGTCAAGACTGTTTATCACTGATCAAATCAGGCTATACTCAAAGTGGAGTGTACTCTGTGAACCCAGATGGTAAAGGAGCGTTCCTTGTATACTGTGACATGAGCACTGATGGTGGAGGATGGACCGTGTTCCAAAGAAGACAAGATGGCTCGGTGGACTTCTATCGCGGCTGGGACAATTACAAATCAGGCTTTGGTCAGCTGACGGCTGAGTTCTGGTTAGGAAACGACAAGATCCACAGGCTGACGGCCTCTAGAGCCAGATCTTTGCGGGTGGAACTGGGTGACGGGAACGGAGCAAAAGCATATGCCAAATATGGCAAGTTCAAGATTGGTGATGAGCAGGTGAAGTACCGACTTGACGTGGGCTCGTATTCAGGAACGGCGGGAGATTCGTTAGCATGGCATAATAACGAGGCTTTTAGCACTAAAGATAGAGATAACGACAGATGGGATAGTATACACTGTGCTGTATCATTCATTGGTGCCTGGTGGTACAGCGGTTGCCACAACTCCAATCTAAATGGAAAATACCTGGGAAACACTAGGTGGAATTATACTGGAGTCATTTGGGAGGACTTCAGAAGCGGCGTTTCACTAAACTTCACGGAAATGAAATTGAGGCCGTCATCATAACACAAAAAGATCCTGTTTGATAAAGAACTCTTTCATTGAGATAGATTTCAATCATATCAGAGCCGTCACTTTTGAAATTTTGCGATTTGAAAGGAATGAGTAGAAAGGACATACGTTATGTCCAAACGGACAAACCAGAAAAGTTGAGGGACGTACATTATCTTGATTTTTAATTCTTTTAACTACTGTACAAATCTTCGGCTGCAAAATTATTGTCTTTGCTTTTCAAGTCATTGTGTCCTACTGCACGTGAAGGCTTTCTCCGGAAATGCGCAAATTTAAGACATCGTCTTATGACCGACTGTTATTAGCAGCTCTGTTGTGTAAACGACTTTCACATGCACAGTTCCCAACAAATTTTTTAACTTGAAGGCAATTCCTCATCCATTTACACCAGCGACAGAGCTTCAGTTACTTTTCCCTCTTTTACTACACGATTAAGCTGAACTGATACGTTTGTGTAAGTCTTTTAATTATTAATTTTAAGATTCCCCCTCTAATTTAGACAGAAAAAATACACAGATGGAACGCGAGAAAACGGCGTTCTAACCTCAAACTTTTTAGCTGATTAACGTAACTCTGTAGAATAACAAAGACTGTAGGAAAGTGAATAAAGCTACTTTTGAAAAAAGCCATTTTTAAAGGGAAATAAAGATTTACAGATTTTATTGTTTTTACGCTATTTACATAATGTTTATATTGGAATTTTAATTTGTATAAGTACCTTACGGAGCAATGTCAGAAATAAAGATAACAAGAAATTAAGATGTGCGCAGTCACCAAAGTAGCTAATGCTTCCTGCTTGGTCCAATAATTGGTCAATGGTCTTTTTAATTTGACATTTATTTTGTACCTTATGACACTCGAGGATACCTTTTAGTAATATTAACCTTACTGTTTTTCGTTTTAGGTAAAACCAGGTACGGAACTAAAGCCTCCGCGTTTAATCCAAGGTTTTGAGATGATTCAGCATATATGAACGATCCCATTGCCTATATCATGCGCAAAAGCGTGCCAGCCTTAGAGAAACTGTAACTGTTCTGGAGGAATAATTTTCCAAGTCCTAAATTAATGATTTCAAATAGAGACGAGAAAACAAAAAATCGAAAACGATGCGCTGCTCTGCCATCCAATTAATCTACACGTTCAGGGAGATTGTTCAAGCTTCCCTTTTAACGATACTCCCACGTCGAGGCTTAATTAGTTGGTATTTTGCAGAAATCAACAAGAAGTTGTTTTCAATTTAAGGTTGAAAAGAACTGCTTCGCTGTTTCGGCTGCTTTTGGAAAAGAAAGAAAAGGCGAGCACTCACAGTCCTCCCATTAAAAATGTAACAAACCAGAATAAGGTTTTTTCTAACCAGGGGCTGGACTCGCAATACTTTCAGCATTTAAATCCCGAGAGGTAGATGTGAGTGGACTCGGGAAGTATTGCAATACAACACACGTACTAAATGTATTACTTGCTGTTTCTATTAATGTACACTTCCTGTAACAGCAAGAGAGAATATCCTCGCTCTCTTGCTGAACGTAAACGTAGACAGTAAAATGTTGATTTTTTTTTTTCAGTTTTTCATTAACAAGTCGGAACGTGCATGGTTTTGAAGCGGAAAACCGTTGTGATAAGATTAGAGTTTCAAAGAATTTTCAATAGCAATGAACATAAAACCTACCCGCCAGCTCCTCCCATAAAAAATATCCCAACAGTTTACCCTAAGTAAGAAGTTATTGTTGACATTTAGTTAGAGGGAAGGGGTAGCTGGGTAGAATCTAATGCTGATCCACTTAAGATATGCCGAAACGGATATGAACTTTTGCCTCCTTAGAAAAAGGAAGTGAAAATAATATCCTTGAATAACGCGTAAGTCCCTATTTTTGACCAAAGTTAAGTATATATCATGTAACCGGTCCACGTACCAGACCGCCGAAACGATATTGAAACTCGCCAATTCGAAATGACGACTCCAAAACAACGCTTTCCTTCTCTTGCTTCCACCATATCTGTTTTAAATATTGTTTTGTACTGCGTTGGGTTTTTAAGAGTTGAATTAGAGTTGAACAATCAAAAGGAGAGGTTAGACGCGCTTGAAAACGTGGCGAAGAGCATTAATCCCCAATCCAGTGATTCAATCTTCAAATTTTAACGCTCGCGCTATGAATGTTTTCTCATTTTATGCACGGATTTTAGAATTTCATGCGGTCTCAAAGTTTTTGTTTTTGTTTTTTTTGTTTTTTTTTGTTTTTTTAGTTTTTTTCCAACCTTTCTTGAAGTACATTCATATGCATATGAAGGACTGAGGAATCGCTGTATGTTATCTTATGGCAAACAACACAAAAGGTTAAGGGTTATTAAAGATAACAAGAAATTAATAATGGTAATTGAACTGAGTGGAGTGCAATTTGGTCTGAAATCATACGCGTGATTTCAAAATCGAACGAGCGCGCAGCGCGAGTTCAATTTGAAATCACAAGTATGATTTCAGACCAAAATTGCACGACACGAAGTTCAATTACCACTTTATTACTTCCATTTTGAAATCGCAGAATTTAGTCAGTACTAATATTTTGTTGATCAAGTAGCCGGTTTGTTAAAAAGCCGAAACAAAAAGGCTTTTACATCTCGTTTTGTATTCCAAACAGAAATGATGCGATATAGAACAAAAATGGTGCTATTTAAAACATAAATGATGCGATTTAGAACATAAATGACGCGATTTGGAACAGATGCGATTTAGAGCAAAAAATGGTGCGATTTAGGAATAAATCACACCGCTGAGAGCCAATCAGATTGCACGGATAGCCAGTGATTTCAAAGTGGATGTAATAAAGGAATTAAGATGTGCGCAGTCACCAAAGTAGCTAATGCTTCCTGCTTGGTCCAATAATTGGTCAATATTAACTTTACTTTTTTCGTTTTAGGTAAAACCAGGTACGGAACTAAAGCCTCCGCGTTTAATCCAAGGTTTTGAGATGATTCAGCATATATGAACGATCCCATTGCCTATATCATGCGCAAAGCGTGCCAGCCTTAGAGAAACTGTAACTGTTCTGGAGGAATAATTTTCCAAGTCCTAAATTAATGATTTCAAATAGAGACGAGAAAACAAAAAATCGAAAACGATGCGCTGCTCTGCCATCCAATCTACAGGTTCAGGGAGATTGTTCAAGCTTCCCTTTTAACGATACTCCCACGTCGAGGCTTAATTAGTTGGTATTTTGCAGAAATCAACAAGAAGTTGTTTTCAATTTAAGGTTGAAAAGAACTGCTTCGCTGTTTCGGCTGCTTTTGGAAAAGAAAGAAAAGGCGAGCACTCACAGTCCTCCCATTAAAAATGTAACAAACCAGAATAAGGTTTTTTCTAACCAGGGGCTGGACTCGCAATACTTTCAGCATTTAAATCCCGAGAGGTAGATGTGAGTGGACTCGGGAAGTATTGCAATACAACACACGTACTAAATTTATTACTTGCTGTTTCTATTAATGTACACTTCCTGTAACAGCAAGAGAGAATATCCTCGCTCTCTTGCTGAACGTAAACGTAGACAGTAAAATGTTGATTTTTTTTTTCAGTTTTTCATTAACAAGTCGGAACGTGCATGGTTTTGAAGCGGAAAACCGTTGTGATAAGATTAGAGTTTCAAAGAATTTTCAATAGCAATGAACATAAAACCTACCCGCCAGCTCCTCCCATAAAAAAAATCCCAACAGTTTACCCTAAGTAAGAAGTTAGTGTTGACATTTAGTTAGAGGGAAGGGGTAGCTGGGTAGAATCTAATACTGATCCACTTACGATATGCCGAAACGGATATGAACTTTTGCCTCCTTAGAAAAGGGAAGTGAAAATAATATCCTTGAATAACGCGTAAGTCCCTATTTTTGACCAAAGTTAAGTATATATCATGTAACCGGTCCACGTACCAGACCGCCGAAACGATATTGAAACTCGCCAATTCGAAATGACGACTCCAAAACAACGCTTTCCTTCTCTTGCTTCCACCATATCTGTTTTAAATATTGTTTTGTACTGCGTTGGGTTTTTAAGAGTTGAATTAGAGTTGAACAATCAAGGAGAGGTTAAACGCGCTTGAAAACGTGGCGGAGAGCATTAATCCCCAATCCAGTGATTCAATCTTCAAATTTTAACGCTCGCGCTATGAATGTTTTCTCATTTTATGCACGGATTTTAGAATTTCATGCGGTCTCAAAGTTTTTGTTTTTGTTTTGTTTTTGTTTTTTTTTTGTTTTTTTAGTTTTTTCAAACCTTTCTTGAAGTACATTCATATGCATATGAAGGACTGAGGAATCGCTGTATGTTATCTTATGGCAAACAACACAAAAGGTTAAGGGTTATTAAAGATAACAAGAAATTAAGGAATTAAGATGTGCGCAGTCACCAAAGTAGCTAATGCTTCCTGCTTGGTCCAATAATTGGTCAATGGTCTTTTTAATTTGACATTTATTTTGTACCTTATGACACTCGAGGATACCTTTTAGTAATATTAACCTTACTGTTTTTAGCTCATGGATGACGTAGTCATGCCATGGGCTTTTGGAGGCACTCGAATGGCACTCGATCACTCACTCACCCACTCACTCACTCACTCACTCACTCGATTCTCATTAATTTATTCATTAAAGTCAGATTAAACACGTTACTCCTACCTCCCTTACTTAGTATCACTTTTTTTCCAAGTGCCTTTTACGTATATGTTTGGAATATCCTAGAGGGTACTAGTAAGGGGAATTTTTTTTCCCAACACATCAATAGAGATGGGTTTTGTATAAATAACAATATTTTAAAGAACACTGATAATATCCTCCGCAAGAAATGGACTTAGAATTGTTAAAAGGACATTGAAATGATTGAGCGTGGATCTTTGCTGTATATTTGGACCAATTGTGCACATTTGTTCCCGATATTGTACTTGATATGGAAAAGATGCAATCAGGAGTGCGAAAGAGCTATTGACGCCTGACGATGGGATTTCGTTCAGCGAAAAGCGAATAAGCCAAAGAACCTTATAATCACTGCAAAAAAACTGTCCTCGAATTGTTAAAGCGACATTGAGGAGTGTCTATTGAGGTATATTCAATTATTTGGACGAATCCGTTCGACCATTTGTCTTTGTATGCAAACAGGGAATAAATTAATGTTGTGTCAACTAGAAGCACAGGTTTAGAAGCAACAAGCGCTACGCTATTTTGCTTGAATTCTTAGGTGATCTTTGCCTTAAAGAAGGCTTTTGTTTGTCGGTGATTCCATTTAGCAGTGCTATTAATGTAATTTCTACAAGAAATGCTGCGGTGGTATACACAAGTCTCTGGCGAAAGGCAATCGGATACTTCGACTGCGTTATAAATTACTTGGCTAGGTCAGAGCACGTACTGCTTTGAGCTTAATCCGTTTTACATGTATTAAAATAATTTTTAGCTCGTGTTTATCAAAAGCACGTTCTAAAGTAGTTCAATTTAGCCATAAACGCCTGTATTCTGTATTTAATATAGCTCGTACTGCGTATACTAACCGTTACGTACTCATCATATGGAAACATTTATTTGAAAGCATCGCACTTTTAAAACCACGGTTTGAATAAGACTCATGTATGTAAAACTTGGCTATTTTACAAGAAAGTGCACTGTCGTTCGGAAAGTGTTTGACAGTCACATGAGAAAGCAAATTATTTTACAACTAAAAAGCGTTAATAAGTGCTTTTAAAAGTGATCTTTGCTTTGTAAGTAGAAACGCTGCGCTAATAAAAAGTTTCTAGAATATTCAGGTGCACATGCAATCGGATACTTCGAGTCACGCTGTACTTGGCAAGTCCGTACAAAATGAACCGTTAAAAAAGATTTATATGTTTTTCTTTGATTATTGAACTGTCTTTTCTACACTAATTCAATTCATCCATGAGCTCGCTCCTAGGAGCCTTTGATTCGTTTTAGGTAAAACCAGGTACGGAACTAAAGCCTCCGCGTTTAATCCAAGGTTTTGAGATGATTCAGCATATATGAACGATCCCATTGCCTATATCATGCGCAAAGCGTGCCAGCCTTAGAGAAACTGTAACTGTTCTGGAGGAATAATTTTCCAAGTCCTAAATTAATGATTTCAAATAGAGACGAGAAAACAAAAAATCGAAAACGATGCGCTGCTCTGCCATCCAATCTACAGGTTCAGGGAGATTGTTCAAGCTTCCCTTTTAACGATACTCCCACGTCGAGGCTTAATTAGTTGGTATTTTGCAGAAATCATCAAGAAGTTGTTTTCAATTTAAGGTTGAAAAGAACTGCTCCGCTGTTTCGGCTGCTTTTGGAAAAGAAAGAAAAGGCGAGCACTCACAGTCCTCCCATTAAAAATGTAACAAACCAGAATAAGGTTTTTTCCAACCAGGGGCTGGACTCGCAATACTTTCAGCATTTAAATCCCGAGAGGTAGATGTGAGTGGACTCGGGAAGTATTGCAATACAACACACGTACTAAATGTATTACTTGCTGTTTCTATTAATGTACACTTCCTGTAACAGCAAGAGAGAATATCCTCGCTCTCTTGCTGAACGTAAACGTAGACAGTAAAATGTTGATTTTTTTTTTCAGTTTTTCATTAACAAGTCGGAACGTGCATGGTTTTGAAGCGGAAAACCGTTGTGATAAGATTAGAGTTTCAAAGAATTTTCAATAGCAATGAACATAAAACCTACCCGCCAGCTCCTCCCATAAAAAATATCCCAACAGTTTACCCTAAGTAAGAAGTTATTGTTGACATTTAGTTAGAGGGAAGGGGTAGCTGGGTAGAATCTAATGCTGATCCACTTAAGATATGCCGAAACGGATATGAACTTTTGCCTCCTTAGAAAAGGGAAGTGAAAATAATATCCTTGAATAACGCGTAAGTCCCTATTTTTGACCAAAGTTAAGTATATATCATGTAACCGGTCCACGTACCAGACCGCCGAAACGATATTGAAACTCGCCAATTCGAAATGACGACTCCAAAACAACGCTTTCCTTCTCTTGCTTCCACCATATCTGTTTAAATATTGTTTTGTACTGCGCTGGGTTTTTAAGAGTTGAATTAGAGTTGAACAATCAAAAGAAGAGGTTAAACGCGCTTGAAAACGTGGCGAAGAGCATTAATCCCCAATCCAGCGATTAAATCTTCAAATTTTAACGCTCGCGGTATGAATGTTTTCTCCTTTTATGCACGGATTTTAGAATTTCATGCGGTCTAAAGGTTTTCGTCTTTGTTTTTGTTTTTTTTTAGTTTTTTCCAACCTTTCTTGAAATACATTTATATGCATATGAAGGACTGAGGAATCGCTGTATGTTATCTTATGCCAACAACACAAAAAGGTTAAGGGGATTAAGTCTTCTCGTTTATACATAGTTCCATACGTATGGAAGCCTTCTTTTCATACAAGAGTTATATTTTCCAAAGAAAGGAAAGAAATGAGATTTTTTCCGCGAACCTGACGTTTGACTCACGTCATATAATCAAGTTCTTCTGTTTCTTGATGGGACTGAGTTTAAAGGGTTGTTGTAGACAGTAAGTCCCACACTCCAATGTAAGAAGCGGCAGACAGAGCTTTTTAAATAAAACTGCAAGGAAAGCATTTGCATTCAAGACTACAGTACTAAATTTCTTATTTAATAAAACGCTAGAAGATCATTATCAGAGTCGACTCATCATTAGTGACTCTAAAAATGGAAGCAGTAGAAGGTCTTGGCTGAGCAGGGATTGAGCTCACAATACCAAGAGCACTGAAGCACACGTACCAACTTCGCGGTATTGGCCAATTCCTTACCCTTGCCCGCCAATCATATATCACCACGGCAGTGGCAGCCATATGAACAGCTGTTTCGCCGCCCTTATTGGGGCTCATCAGACTGGCATAGCCGTCGTATGAACTGGCGAACCGGTGTGTCAAATTCTTTACCGCCAACGTTTGCACTTCCTTAAACGCCAGCTCCACCGTACACAAACTGTTGGCTGGGACCGCAAAACAGTTTGGACTCACAATGTTCTCTCAAAGGTTAGTTCAGTTCAGTAGACTGAGACGTTTGGAATACAATACAAGTACTAAATATATTACCTGCTGTCAGTAATAATAACACTGTCGGTATGTCACTTCCTGAAACAGTATAAGCGAGGATATCCCCTTTTGATGATAGTATTGATCTTTTCTGCCAAACATATGCCAAGAAAGATAAGATTTTTGAACTTTACCATCTTATAATATAAGAAGGAAGTGAAAATGATCGAAACAGTACCAGGATCAAGTAACGAGCTCACGCACCAAGTCTTCAGATAAACAAGGCTTGTTTAATTGAGGTTGTTACGCATGAAAATGACATCGGCTCAAAATCAACGCTTTCCCTCTTTTTCTACTACCATCTCTGCATTAGGTATTGTTTTGTATTGCGCTGGATTTTTAAGAGTTGAACTAGAGTTGAATAATCAGAAGAAGAGGTTAGATGCCCTTGAAATCGTCGCGAGGACAAAACAACCATTCAGCGAGCCACATCACAGTATCGTCAAGTTCATCAAGGATGCTCACGGTATGTACTTTTCACCTTGCCTAAAGGCGGTAAAAAAAATTCATGTATTCTGAGGTCTTTTGTCTTATCTTAAAAAGAACACTCGTGTTTACGAAAGTTTGTTCAATGTGCCTGACTTTTAAACACGAGCGAAAATGTAAGGGAGTCTGATTCGTAAAAAAAACGCTTTTGCGTGTTGTCAACTAAGTGGCACTGAAAAAATTAGCAAAGGTCATTTCGACTTCCTTTGGTTTTATTACTACTTCTTTTCTTTACACAGGCGGCGTGAATGACTCTTCCATGCACAAATACTCTGACATGATAAACATACAAAAGTAATATTTCATGATTATTAAACCAAAAGAAATAGTTTCAGTTTTCCTAAGAATTAAAATTACCTCAAGGGCATTGTTTTAGATAATAACGTTACAAGTCTTGCAGGAGCTCGTTGCCTTTTGCTTGAATTTTAAGGTCATTAAAACTCATACCAAAATAGCGTCTTAATCACTGAGCTAGAAAAAAACGACATGAATTAGGAAATTTTATCTAACCATTGCGACGAAAGAAAAATTAGTACTGAATGAACCCTCAGCTAAGAAGACGGAGTCGTGAAGATTTGCGAAAGTTTTGTATTATCGGTTTCCTTATGATCACAGCTTGTTGGAAGGATCACCATTAATCGAGGGTGTGAATGGGATTTACCGAGTAGCGACAAAGGGCGAAAAATATTAATATTACTGAAAACTGACGAAAAGAGAAAAAAATTACCGACTACCGACAGGAAAAATATTAACCGACTACCGAGTAATGGGCCGACATTATCGATATTTGTTTTCATAAGGAAGAGATTTTGTATTTTTTCTAGCTTAGGAAGTAACCACATAAAATTTACGACTTGTCAGATGGTCCAACGGAAAGAACTTCCTCCTTTGTTGATACGTTTATACAGTAACCGACAACCAACAAGTGGACTACGTATGGTGGCCGACAACTGCCATTCGTCAAAACGACATAAATTTGTTAATTTTAGGTTGAACTTAAATTATTTTGAATTGAAAGAGAAGTGAAATAAAACGCAACATTATTTTCTTTTTCATTGAAATGGAAATAGATTATTTTTTCATCACTATTATTTTCAAATCAAAACAAAACATTTTTATTATGAAATGAAAATAAAAATAAAAGTGAAATAAAACTGCCTTTCAAACCAAAAAAAAGGTAAAATTAATATGTTCATGGCCGGTAACTGCTGTTCTTTGTGTCGTTACGGGAGTAGACTAGATCAAAGGCTCCTAGGAGCAAGCTCATGGATGAATTGAATCTTAAACGAGCATGGGTGCTAAGTGTCACTGCTCTTGAATTTCGCGATTCCGTTATTATTGACAACCGAATGTTAAAGATTATCACCTCTGTATTTATAGCGGAGCTCTGGCGCGCGAAGCGCGCCTGCGGAGCACCATGGGTAAGTAAATCTACCCATCCCAGAAAATTTGGGGTCGTGACTAGAATGGATACTCCAAAATCAGGTATCCGCTCGGAGACTGGAACTGAATAAAATTATTTTTCGGCAAATCGCTCCGACTCTTTACGACCTTGTTGTGTTGAAAGACTAAGACTAGCATACAAAGACTGAAAAGGCTAAGATGAGAATGGTTACTCCAAAATATGGATCAAAGCCTACATAGAGGTTAGTTGTTTTTCACGTTCTTTTTGTAAGAATTTAGTCCAAGGAGCAAACAATGTCTGTTTAATTACAGTACCACTACCGCGACTGCCGTGTAAAGCTTATTCATAGCAAAGTATCTGTTTGGATAGCTCAGAATAAGGTGGATACTTCAGAATAAGAATGGCCAAAATATGGAAGTTTTGGCCATCTGGATTACTATTACTGAAATTCCCAATACAAACATGATTGTTACGTTTACAAAGAGGGTACAAATACAGTTAAGGTCAGTTAACCATCTTGTAATTTTATGGGTTAGTTGATTCCAAGTGTTAACAATAGTAAAAAACACATAAGGGACCAGTCATTTCTTTGAGGCGGGGGAGGGCTGGTGCAATTGGGGGGAGGGTCATTAAATTTTATGTAGCCAAAAAGGGGAGGGTCACCAAAACTTTAAGCTGGGCTTTGGGGAGCGCCATACCATTTTTAGCAAACATTGCTGTCACTTAAAATAAAAATAAATCAACAAATAAAATATATTATTTAACAAACAAGTCCCTTGCACAGTAAGCATTTTAAACTTTCATAATGATCAACCTGAACTACCCAACAACCCTACATGTACGTCTTGATTTGTTTTTCAACAGCAACACACTGCGCAACATGTCTTTGCATTGATCAAGTTTCTCATTAAGATATTTCAATTCACTGTTACTCTTTTTTTAGCTTCATCAAGCCTTGTAATAACAGCTTCATCAAACGATTTAGAATACTCTTCTCCTCGTATAAAATTACCAGTCTTTGAGTGAAACAGGGTGTTAAGGTGAGCTTTAATGCATTTATCCATATCTAATATGTTCTCTAGTAACTCACTGAGCTTCATAATGTTCGCCCTCAGTATTAACTAATCAGCTGGGACAAGAACATAATCGGTCGTGTAAAATTTTCCAGCAGCACGAGGATTGTTTGTGCTCAATATTGCTTCAATGCATGAGGTGATCTTAGATACCCGTTCCTGAATGTCGTATTGGCACCTCCCTTCATCACAAGGTAAAAGTTGATCTCTTTTAATAATCCCTGTCATATCTTTTAGCGTGGGGAGGGTCATAACTATTTTGGGCCATACAAGGGGGAGGGTTACATTTTTTTCTGCAGGAAATTGGGGGAGGGCATAAAAAAAATTCACCTGGGAAAAAAGAATTGCACCAGCCCTGCCCCCCCCCCCCCCTCTAATAAATGACAGGTCCCTAATTTACTTCAGGTCATACTTCTTGTAGCTTGGTGATCACTATTACAAGTCAGGCAGACATATGCTCAAGTTTCTAAAAAAAAAAAATGGTCCTGCAGATTGTATTAGTGTAGTGTCTCTGTATAGCTCTGATAAAGGACCTGGAGCCTACAGTGGCAGATCGGAACCTTCAGATAAGAAGAGGGGTGGGGCGGGAGGATTCTCACCAGACCTTGAGGTGGCAAGGAACCATGACCTTAAGGTACAGGAGCTCAATCTAGAAAAGAATTTTCTTGGCAAATTATTTAATTTGATCTAGAATATGGAGGGCAGGGGACCTCCCCTAGATCCTAAACATTTTTTACATTTACTAGAAACTTTTCACTTCAAATTATTTATCCTTTAGGATTTTTTATTTATAGTTGCTTTTTTTGTATTTTGTTTTGTTTTTTTTTTCAAATCCTAGGAGCCTCATTGTCACCAAAAATCTCTGCCTTCCATACCCTATTCCACACTGAACTTTCTGACAATAGTCCTCAGCCAAGTGGTACCATCATGGTGTTGAAAAGTGTGGAAATAGATCCTGTTGATCCTGGGATGAATTATTTTTCTTTTTCTTCCCCTTTCCTCCACTCAATGGGGGAGGGGGGGGGAAGGTGTTTTCCTTCCCCTCCCTGTGACCTATTACCTATTTCCTTGATTGCCTTCTGAGCTCCTGATGAGACAAGACCTTCAGCATTAAGCTGGTTATGGGCTATTTTTTGTTTTTCACTCAGTATGGTGAGCTTATCATAAAATAATTTAAAATGGAATAAAAATGATGATGCAGGTATATCCATGTTGCAGCTGTAACAGGAGGATGAGTTGGAGATCCGGAGGGTGTTGCAGTCAAATGCTTGTGAGGAACAGAGAAACCAGTTGGAGAAGGAAAGGAAGAAATGAAGAAAATTGGAGAAGGCTTCAAGAGAAATAGCAAATAAAATGAAAAAAAAAAGAAAAAAAGAAAAAAGAAAACAGGAAAAAGAAAATTTTCATTGAGGCCAAGCAGTTGGCTGCTCAGTTGCATGTCTGGGTAGCTTGACCATTTGGTTAATAAAATTCTCAAAACCACAAACAAACCACTCTAAGAATTTGATAAAATGTGTAAAAAAAATTGTTTATTACTTTTATAAAAATAAAGTTGTTTGTTTACAATTCTACAACCATTTTTTGATTTCTTCCTTTTCCCATAATTCTTTCCTCTGTTTTACTTTCCTTCTACTCTTTCTCCACTTCCGCAATGTGCTTTTATGTACCCTCTATACCTGGGGTGGAAAGTCACCTGAAAATTTGAAATTAGCCATGGATTAAATAAAGCTTCCATTATAATCATTCTTTCAGGAAATAAAGCTGCTACTTTGGTGGTAATTCTAAAAAGCACTGTGTTCCACGATACAGTGCCTTGATTCAGCAAAGAAGCCTTGACCCTTCTGTTTTAAAAGTTAAAGATTTTCTTTTGGTAGCAGAGAAAGGCCCCCAGTTTAGTGCATTACAAATAATTATCACCTACAAAGTTATCTATCATCTAAATTAAAAAGGAACAACCAAATCATTTCCTTGTGGTACCTGCACTGCCTAATATCAAAATGAATAACTAAAATACTGATAAATAAATAATAATTATTGAAGTAGGGTATATCCAGGCCGTTTTAGCTTAACAAAACAAAAACACAAGGTAAGTCATTCTCGTTTCTATTTTTGTCAAAAAATGGAATTTAGGACGTATTTTGTTTATTGTCATACGTTCTCTTATAAATTCAAAGTCCAACAAACTCCTTCAGAGTTTGGGCTACCTGTTGATGGGGCAACATGACAGGATGGACAATAAAGGGGCTGCATTTTCAACACCTTCAATGTGACTGGAAATTACAAAGGTTCACACAGCAGATTCAGGAATACAAAATGACTAACTTGGAATCACATAGTTTACATTTGCCAAAAGTAGCTAACATTGGGCCTTTTGGTCATAGAAAAGACTGTAAAAGGATTTGGGTTCTGGTTGGTTAATTGTGCCAGATACCCAGCACACCAAAAGGTTGACGCGAGTATCCCAGAGGTTGTGAGGGTCACTTTGGTTTTTATAATCTCATAAAGTACCCATTCTTCTCACACTAAACTAAACAGCAACTTACCACTTAAAAGTGAAAAAAAAATCAACCATAATATATAAGAAAACAGAAATAGTTTATGTTGAGCCATAAATTCAACAACTGTCTGCTATCCCTGGGGGGGTTACTCCCTTATATGGCCTCCATGGGGATGTGCCGCTGGACAGGGAATGGTTTTCGTCCTCTCTGTCCTGAACAGGGTATATAGTTTGGCACAAGTCTGTCGTAAACAGGGTATACAATTTCCTGCAAGTCTGTCCTAAACAGTGTGCATGATTTGTGCGAGTCTGTTCTAATTATAAACATGGTGTTTCATGCATGATCGATTTCGTTTTAGTGCAAATGTTTGCAGATATTTAGTACGTCATCACCCAAAGCATTTGCTGGAATAAATATAAATGTTCTTGTTTTTGGCACCCTTGTCTAAATAAGATAAGTACAAGTTGACAGGTGTGCTTGATAACCTTGTCCCCATCTGAGGGAGTTGTCCTATCTGGGTACTAAAGTTGAGTGTGTTATCCTAAACAGGGTATGGGTTTGAAACCCTCAGCGGCTCACCTACACCCAAATATTGGTAGAGTACCCCTCCCACCCCCCCCTACACCGGGCTGCTATCCTATAAGCAAGCTTCGAATTAACTGAGCCATAATTACACAATGGTTGACTGTATTTGTACCCTCTTTGTAAACGTAACAATCATTTTTATATTGGGAAGTTCAGTAATAATAATCCAGATGGCCAAAACTTCCATATTTTGGCCATTCTTATTCTGAAGTATCCACCTTATTCTGAGCTATCCAAACAGATACTTTGCTTTGAATAAGCTTTACACGGCAGTCGCGGTAGTGGTACTGTAATTAAACAGACATTGTTTGCTCCTTGCACTAAATTCTTACAAAGAACGTGAAAAACAACTAACCTCTATGTAGGCTTTGATCCATATTTCGGAGTAACCATTCTTATCTTAGCCTTCTTCAGTCTTTGTATACTTATCTCAAAAGTCGGAGCGATTTGCCGAAAAATAATTTTATTCAGTTCCAGTCTCCAAGCGGATACCTGATTTTGGAGTATCCATTCTAGTCACGACCGAAAATTTGGTAATCAAGTGATCGTGCACCGCCCGCCCGCCCGTCCGTCCGCACCACAGGAAAACCAGTGTTTAATCCTCACACTTTCTAGCCAGTTTGGGAGCACAGGAAGACTGATATTGCACACATATATTGCACATCAATGTTGTGATCAATTGACAGCTGTCAAAACAGGGTATCCGCTGACCAGGATCACCTGACCGTATCGCGGGCTCAGGTGTCGATCCATCGAGGTCGATATCTTTTTGAAGTTATCCGCTGACAAGTAACTTGTTTTCAAATGATCGCAGGCTCAAGTTTATTTTTTTTAATTCATATGAAATATGTTGTGTTTTGTATGTGCCGCACAATTAAAATGATTTCAAACTGACCTAGGAAGCTAAAATTCAGCCAGTTTTTACAGGCAGGGAAGACATGCTAGTTGCTTTTGACTTTCCTCACCAAGGTCACGAGTTGGTCACACTCTACGTCCAATTTTTATGCTCTGATTGGTCAAAATTTGACAGGTGAGTTCATGCGGAAAATGTATGCAGCATCTTGAAACTTGTTTACTTTGCTGAAGCTGACAGAGTTTTGTGTCAACTTGTGATGTTTTTAACTGTCTTTTTCCACTGAATGTACAAAATGAAATTCAGCTGCTATCAAGAGTCTTCTGTTATTCATGGCTAATTTGTTTACTGGTTTTTTGGTTGAGAAATACATTGCTTGTCAACGTCGGAAATCCGATTTCGGATGGCATCGTTTTCGTTTTTCACCTTGCTGGATGCGTAAGAGGGTTGAAAAGTCTGAAGCGATTCTGGCCTTACTTGATAGTTTTCAGTGCATCTCGAATGGTAAGCCCGAGTAATTATTGTATTTGACGTTTGTTTTTTATATCTAATTTAATGAAGTCGAGCGTAGTTTATGCGGCTATTTAGTTTATTCACGTTTTTAATTGTAAGATTTGAGACAATGATCTGACCGAGTATCAGGTTTGATTGTAAGCTTATAGAACTTTAAAAAGCCTTTAGACATTTTCTCACCGCAAATAGAAAGAAAACGTTCCAAACAATATTTAGTTATAATTCTGGCTGTAAAAGAAAGCTTTGAGCGATTTTCTTGCCTCGAGTTCATCTTTGAAAAAGCAAACACCGGGAAGCCGGCTTACAAAATGAAAAACATAAACTAGGATTTTCAGAGACACTTTAATACTTGTCTTCGTAAATGAAAATTGTTGTCACTGTATATGTTTCACCGAATTATTTTCCTTTTATTGATTGTTAGTATTCTCTTTTGCAATTTTTATCGCTGTGCCGTTTGTTTTCAGTCGCTCATGAACATCGCTTGCATGCAGGAGTAGTCAAAATGCTGCGCGTATCAAACGCTTTTGACGATTAAACATCGTTATAAAACCATTAAATAAAAAATAAACATAATAAATTCTTTATTATGTTGAAGCGTATAACTCTATTAATTATAATTTAAACAGTCGACTTTGGCGCTTGTCAAAAGTGAGAACCGGCTAGCCGTATAGGTGATTTTGGAAATTTTTTTAACGGTTTCGCTAAAAAGCCCACACGTGCGTCGATCGTCCTGAATATTGAGTGAGTGCAATTTGTATTGCAAAATTGTGAAATACTGCATTCTGTCCGGGGTCTGTATGATAAAAACAGCGCCTCATGGTACTGTTTCACCTCAGATGTGATGTATAAAAAGTATAAAAGGTTAGGTTATACGTCCCCAGACTTGTTGGCAAGATTTTGTAAAGTAAACTTGTCGAACGCAAAAAATTCGGCCTGATTTGTTTTCCAAGAATTGTTTTCCAGGCCTAATCTACTGTGATCAAGAGCCCGCGCTCTTAAATGTGATCGAAGATGATTGTTATTTTTTGGGTGTACATATAAGGCTATCAACTCGATGTAAGATTAAGTTCACTCTTAGCTTGGACTGTTTGCAAATTACTTTTCTGTAAAATCACTTAACCCTTCCCTCAAAAGTCACATGAGTAGTATACTATGTTGAAACTTAACCCCGTTAGTGGATTCCCTTTGGATTCCCTCGCAAAAAGTGGATTCCCTTAATTGATATGCATAAGCCTATGACGTCACCTCGGAAAGAAGTGTCTTCCTGCATACTAATTTGGATTAGGTTTACTAATGAGCGTCACTCTACTACAATAGGAACAATAGGCTTGCCTAGACTTGCCCGTGAAGTAACTTGAGCTCGGTTTTCGGACAGTCTATTAAAAGGAAAATAGGAATAAGAGAAGCGATCACCTAGCAACGCGAGAAACGGCTTCCTATATCTTATTTAGCGCTAAAACTCAGATATATAAACAAAACACATGTGCACAAAGTGGAGTTGAAAAGTCTTTATTTCCGTTTAGTTTATGTCTTCTTATTGAGCTCTAAAACTCAGATATATATAAACAAAATACACAAAGTAGAACTGAAAACTGTATTTCAATTTTGTCTGACGTTTTCTCCGTTCTATCTCGAGGAAATGAAAAACTATTAAAGTCTTGTAATTTCACGCACTGTTAGTCAGTTAATTATGCGAGTTCACAAGCCCAAAGTTGAATACAAATTTGCTCTACAGGAAAGACCCAAGGGAGCACCTTGACGTATTATTATAAAACAAATAACTTAACAAGGATCAATTAAAACACGCGACTAATAATTGCTAGCAATAAAATCTGACACGAGATACCGTTTAAAACAAAAAGAGTCAAATACACAGCGATTTGAAAGAAATCTATTAAAACAGTCAAAGAAAGCTTACCCCTCTCCCTTTTCAATTTTATTTCCCTCCTCAATTTTTTCTTTTTCCCTTCTCCACAATTTTGTTATTTTCCCTCCTCAATGTTTTTATTCCCTCCTCCACAATTTTTATTATTTTCCCTCCTCAATGTTTTTTATTCCCCTCCTTCACCTCCACCTCCTCATTTATTCTATACATTTTTCCATCCACAAATACATCGACCTCCTAGCGACCCTACATCGACCCCACATCGACCCTACATCGACCCTACATTGACCCCACACCGACCCTACACTCAACTTTTTTTTTAACACTGCTTCGTAAATAGTGAAGCTATATACCACCACCGCCACATTTCTATTGTTTTCCCACCACCACCAGCACCGCCACCACATTTCAATTGTTTTCCCTTCTCCTCTTCATTTTTATTGTTTTCCCTCCTCCACCACCACCACCACCACCACCACATTTCTATTGTTTTCCCTCCACCACCACCACCACCACCACCACCACATTTCTGGTGTTTTCCCTTCACCACCACCACCACCACCACCACATTTCCATTGTTTTCCCTCCACCACCACCACCACCACATTTCTATTGTTTTCCCCCACCACCACCACCACCACCACCACCACATTTCTATTGTTTTCCCTCCACCACCACCACCACCACATTTCTATTGTTTTCCCTCCTCCTCCTCATTTTTGTTTTGGTACAGTAGGGGTACAGGAGGGGTACAGGAGGGGTACAGGAAGGGTACAGGAGGGGTACAGTAGGGGTACAGGAGGGGTACAGTAGGGGTACAGGAAGGGTACAGTAGGGGTACAGGAGGGGTACAGGAGGGGTACAGTAGGGGTACAGGAAGGGTACAGTAGGGGTACAGGAGGGGTACAGGAGGGGTACAGGAGGGGTACAGGAGGGGTACAGGAGGGGTACAGTAGGGGTACAGGAGGGGTACAGGAGGAGGAGGAGGAGGAGGAGGGAAAACAATAAAAATGAAGAGGAGGAGGGAAAACAATAGAAATGTGGTGGTGGTGGTGGTGGAGGGAAAACAATAGAAATGTGGTGGTGGTGGTGGTGGGGGGGGAAACAATAGAAATGTGGTGGTGGTGGTGGTGGTGGAGGGAAAACAATAGAAATGTGGTGGTGGTGGTGGAGGGAAAACAATAGAAATGTGGTGGTGGTGGTGGTGGAGGAGGGAAAACAATAGAAATGTGGTAGTGGTGGTGGTGGTGGTGGAGGGAAGACAATAGAAATGTGGTGGTGGTGGTGGTGGTGGTGGTGGTGGTGGAGGGAAAACAATAGAAATGTGGTGGTGGTGGAGGAGGGAAAACAATAAAAATGAAGAGGAGGAGGGAAAACAATTGAAATGTGGTGGCGGTGCTGGTGGTGGTGGGAAAACAATAGAAATGTGGCGGTGGTGGTATATAGCTTCACTATTTACGAAGCAGTGTTAAAAAAAAGTCGATGTGGGGTCGATGTAGGGTCGATGTGGGGTCGATGTAGGGTCGCTAGGAGGTCGATGTATTTGTGGATGGAAAAATGTATAGAATAAATGAGGAGGTGGAGGTGAAGGAGGGGAATAAAAAACATTGAGGAGGGAAAATAATAAAAATTGTGGAGGAGGGAATAAAAACATTGAGGAGGGAAAATAACAAAATTGTGGAGAAGGGAAAAAGAAAAAATTGAGGAGGGAAATAAAATTGAAAAGGGAGAGGGGTAAGCTTTCTTTGACTGTTTTAATAGATTTCTTTCAAATCGCTGTGTATTTGACTCTTTTTGTTTTAAACGGTATCTCGTGTCAGATTTTATTGCTAGCAATTATTAGTCGCGTGTTTTAATTGATCCTTGTTAAGTTATTTGTTTTATAATAATACGTCAAGGTGCTCCCTTGGGTCTTTCCTGTAGAGCAAATTTGTATTCAACTTTGGGCTTGTGAACTCGCATAATTAACTGACTAACAGTGCGTGAAATTACAAGACTTTAATAGTTTTTCATTTCCTCGAGATAGAACGGAGAAAACGTCAGACAAAATTGAAATACAGTTTTCAGTTCTACTTTGTGTATTTTGTTTATATATATCTGAGTTTTAGAGCTCAATAAGAAGACATAAACTAAACGGAAATAAAGACTTTTCAACTTCACTTTGTGCACATGTGTTTTGTTTATATATCTGAGTTTTAGCGCTAAATAAGATATAGGAAGCCGTTTCTCGCGTTGCTAGGTGATCGCTTCTCTTATTCCTATTTTCCTTTTAATAGACTGTCCGAAAACCGAGCTCAAGTTACTTCACGGGCAAGTCTAGGCAAGCCTATTGTTCCTATTGTAGTAGAGTGACGCTCATTAGTAAACCTAATCCAAATTAGTATGCAGGAAGACACTTCTTTCCGAGGTGACGTCATAGGCTTATGTATATCAATTAAGGGAATCCACTTTTTGCGAGGGAATCCAAAGGGAATCCACTAACGGGGTTAAGTTTCAACATCGTATACTACTCATGTGACTTTTGAGGGAAGGGTTAAGTGATTTTACAGAAAAGTAATTTGCAAACAGTCCAAGCTAAGAGTGAACTTAATCTTACATCGAGTTGATAGCCTTATATGTACACTCAAAAAATAACAATCATCTTCGATCACATTTAAGAGCGCGGGCTCTTGATCACAGTAGATTAGGCCTGGAAAACAATTCTTGGAAAACAAATCAGGCCGAATTTTTTTTGGTGCGTTCGACAAGTTTACTTTACAAAATCTTGCCAACAAGTCTGGGGACGTATAACCTAACCTTTTATACTTTTTATACATCACATCTGAGGTGAAACAGTACCATGAGGCGCTGTTTTTATCATACAGACCCCGGACAGAATGCAGTATTTCACAATTTTGCAATACAAATTGCACTCACTCAATATTCAGGACGATCGACGCACGTGTGGGCTTTTTAGCGAAACCGTTAAAAAAATTTCCAAAATCACCTATACGGCTAGCCGGTTCTCACTTTTGACAAGCGCCAAAGTCGACTGTTTAAATTATAATTAATAGAGTTATACGCTTCAACATAATAAAGAATTTATTATGTTTATTTTTTATTTAATGGTTTTATAACGATGTTTAATCGTCAAAAGCGTTTGATACGCGCAGCATTTTGACTACTCCTGCATGCAAGCGATGTTCATGAGCGACTGAAAACAAACGGCACAGCGATAAAAATTGCAAAAGAGAATACTAACAATCAATAAAAGGAAAATAATTCGGTGAAACATATACAGTGACAACAATTTTCATTTACGAAGACAAGTATTAAAGTGTCTCTGAAAATCCTAGTTTATGTTTTTCATTTTGTAAGCCGGCTTCCCGGTGTTTGCTTTTTCAAAGATGAACTCGAGGCAAGAAAATCGCTCAAAGCTTTCTTTTACAGCCAGAATTATAACTAAATATTGTTTGGAACGTTTTCTTTCTATTTGCGGTGAGAAAATGTCTAAAGGCTTTTTAAAGTTCTATAAGCTTACAATCAAACCTGATACTCGGTCAGATCATTGTCTCAAATCTTACAATTAAAAACGTGAATAAACTAAATAGCCGCATAAACTACGCTCGACTTCATTAAATTAGATATAAAAAACAAACGTCAAATACAATAATTACTCGGGCTTACCATTCGAGATGCACTGAAAACTATCAAGTAAGGCCAGAATCGCTTCAGACTTTTCAACCCTCTTACGCATCCAGCAAGGTGAAAAACGAAAACGATGCCATCCGAATGTATTTCTCAACCAAAAAACCAGTAAACAAATTAGCCATGAATAACAGAAGACTCTTGATAGCAGCTGAATTTCATTTTGTACATTCAGTGGAAAAAGACAGTTAAAAACATCACAAGTTGACACAAAACTCTGTCAGCTTCAGCAAAGTAAACAAGTTTCAAGATGCTGCATACATTTTCCGCATGAACTCACCTGTCAAATTTTGACCAATCAGAGCATAAAAATTGGACGTAGAGTGTGACCAACTCGTGACCTTGGTGAGGAAAGTCAAAAGCAACTAGCATGTCTTCCCTGCCTGTAAAAACTGGCTGAATTTTAGCTTCCTAGGTCAGTTTGAAATCATTTTAATTGTGCGGCACATACAAAACACAACATATTTCATATGAATTAAAAAAAATAAACTTGAGCCTGCGATCATTTGAAAACAAGTTACTTGTCAGCGGATAACTTCAAAAAGATATCGACCTCGATGGATCGACACCTGAGCCCGCGATACGGTCAGGTGATCCTGGTCAGCGGATACCCTGTTTTGACAGCTGTCAATTGATCACAACATTGATGTGCAATATATGTGTGCAATATCAGTCTTCCTGTGCTCCCAAACTGGCTAGAAAGTGTGAGGATTAAACACTGGTTTTCCTGTGGTGCGGACGGACGGGCGGGCGGGCGGTGCACGATCACTTGATTACCAAATTTTCTGGGATGGGTAGATTTACTTACCCATGGTAATCCGCAGGCGCGCTTCGCGCGCCAGAGCTCCGCTACTATTTTTTTGGTTACGAAAGTCTTTCAAAAGGGTACAATGTTCTGAATGAGTTTATGTTTCAGTCTCACCTGAGATTCTGTCGCATGCAATGGTCGGCGACAAGGTTTTATGGTAGCCTGAGCTAGCCTGAGTGTGTATAGCCGCCCCCTCCCCTCAGAAAAAATGGCCATTTTGCAGCCCGGTTGAAAATCTTGTTTTCATTCATATTACATGCCAATTTCTTTCTTTCTTTAGTTTATTTTTTTTTGGCTCTTTAGTTGGCATACGTTGTCTATTTTAAAAAGCATTTCTAAAAAAGCATTGCGTCAGCATTTCTATGGTAACTTTTTGGCATTCCTATGCACTCACGTTTTTAAGGTTGTTCTGACCTTAGGAATTCAAACCTGACACAGTGGAAGTATCCGATTGCATGTGCACCTGAATATTCTAGAAACTTGTTATCAGCGCAGCATTTCTTTAACGCAAAGATCACTTTCAGCTTATTAACGCTTTTTAGTTGTAAAATAATTTGCATTGCTTTCTCATGTGAACGTCAACGCCGCCTTACAATTCGAGGACCGTTTTTTTTGCAGCTAAGGGTCTTTGGCTTATTCGCTTTTCGCTGAAGGAAATCCCATCGTCAGGCAGTTCGATAGCTCTCACATCAAGTCACAACATCGCGGAACAAATGTGCACAATTCGTCCAAATATACAGCAATGATCCACGCTCAATTATTTCAATGTCCTTTTAACAATTCCAAGTCCCAGTCCATTTCTTGCAGATGATATTGTCAGTGTTCTTTAGAATATTTCCATTTATACAAAACCCATCTTCGGCTGGCTTCTCTTTCGTTTCGAGAAAAAATGTACGCCTTACTAGTACCCCCTAGAATATGCCAAACATATGCGTAAAAGGCACTTTGAACAAAGTAATACTAAGTGAGAGGTAAGAGTGAAGTGTATGATTTGGCTTTAAAAGAATCGAGTGAGTGCGTAAGTAGTGAGTGATAGAGTGCCATTCGAGTGCCTCCAAAAGCCCATGACATGACTACGTCATCCATGAGCTAAAAACCTGTATTGCTTTAGCAAACCGTCTATTAAGGCAACCTCGTTCCCAGGGTTCTCTCCTGAGAACGTGGGAACGAGTTTAAACCTGTCAACACGTAACTTAACGAGGTGCTCATTGGTCCGGGCAGACTAAACCTCAAAACAATTGGAAAGGAATGTATGACAGTTTAAAGCCCATAGGCGCGGGGAGCATTGCGTGACCTCGGCCCGAGCGGCTGCGAGGAAGACTTTTGGCGGACTTTTTCTTTTTTTTTTTTGGTTTTTTTGAATGGCAGTTCCCGGCCATGAACATGTTAATTTTACTTTTTCCGTTTTGAATGGCAGTTCCCGGCCATGAACATACTAGTTTTACTTTTCCTGTTTTGAATGGCAGTTCCCGGCCGTAAACAAATTAGTTTTATTTCTGCTTTTATTTCACTTTTAGTTTTATTTTCATTTCATAATAAAAATGTTTTGTTTTGTTTTGAAAATTAACAAAATGAATCTATTTCCAGTTCAATGAAAAACAAAATAATTTGACGTTTTATAATTTCGCTTTATTTTCAATGCAAAATAAGTTCAATCTAAAATTAACAAATTTATGTCGTTTTGACAAATGACAGTTGTCGGCTACCATAGTGGACCCCCCTCCCCCCATCCCCGCCTATTAAGACCCTCTTAATCGAACTGACAATTCCTTATTCTTCGACAGATTTTTTCCCCGATGAACATCATCGAAGCAAGCGACATGTGAAGTCAGCTAATAATTCGAGAGAAGCGAAAACAACAGCCGTCTTGATTAAAGAAATTCACAATATTTTATCAGAGGGCAGGATCCGCCTTTGCAAATCAACAAATGCGTCGTGTCTGTCAGGTCCACCCGGACCGAGGGGAGAGAAGGGAGACCGAGGACGAAAAGGGAAGAGAGGGTCACGTGGAAGCAAGGGAGACAGAGGTATTATGGGATCACAGGGCAAAAGTGGACCCGTGGGACCAAAAGGTGATGCTGGACTTAAGGGGCAAAAAGGGGAGACAGGGATCGCTGGCGTGCCGGGAGCCAAAGGAGATAGAGGCACTGCGGGACCACCAGGAAAGAGTGGCAAACAAGGCATCATGGGACCTGTAGGGCCAAAGGGTGTTCCTGGACTCAAAGGGCGAAAAGGAGATAAAGGGATCGCTGGAATGTCGGGAGCCAAAGGAGAGAGAGGTATGATAGGATCACCAGGAAAAAGCGGCAAACAAGGTATCATGGGACCTGTAGGGCCAAAAGGTGTCCCTGGACTCAAAGGGAAAAAAGGAGACACAGGATCCGCGGGCATACCTGGAACCAAAGGAGAGCCTGGTCAATCGAGTGAGTGACAATATAAGACTATCAATATCGACTTCCCTCTTTTTCCAGCCATGAATTTTCTTTTTTGATACCACCTTTTTTGCCAGAAAAATTTTGCGTCTGCTAGGCATAAATAGATTGCCGCTTCGGAAACTTTTGAGCAACTTTTAGCGTTTTCAGCAACTTTTTGTACTGCGGGCAACCTAGAGCAACTTTTGAGTCAACAAATAGTTAAAAACTGACCAAACCATCAAAAACTAATAACTAATAATAGAAAGTATTTTCCAATGACGTTTCTAATGAGAAAACATCACAATGTTTGCTATAGACATCATAGTGCTGACTATACACTTTAGACAGTGATTAAGTTTACAGCCTTTATCTTATCTTATCATAATAAGATACAACAATGCAAAGAGGTTGTAAAGTTTACAGCCTCTTATTTGCATTATTGTATCTTATCATAACTGAAGCCTCAAGGTAGTCCTAAGGCTTTGTCTTGTTGATCGTTAAACTTCTAGAAATTGAAGCTGTTACAGGACTACTAAGAGTTGCCCCAGTGGCTATGGTAGCTTCAGTAGGGCTAATATCTGTATTATTTTCATTTTCCTCGTCACACATTTCAGGTTCTAATTGTGATGCCTCGCACTGCAGCAAATACCAAGATTGCGGGCGGGAAGCCGCACATAGATGTTGTTTTATTTTTCTTCTCGTTCTTTTGTTTGAGACCAAGAAAGTACAACAAAATTAAAAATACAACAAAACGTCCCATAGTTTCATTCATTTAATACTTGACATGCCCCACAGCTTTGAGAGATCTCTTTCACGCGCCTAGTATCTAAATACTAGAACATTATCTTTTTGTCGAAGACTGCTCTTTTTCGAGTGAAAAGACACATTTTTACCTCGTAGAAATTGTATTTATAATTTCAGATCGAGATTGTTTAGCATTATTAAAGTCAGGCTATACTCAAAGTGGAGTGTACTCTGTGAACCCGAACGGAAAAGGATCCTTCAATGTATATTGTGACATGCGCACTGATGGCGGAGGATGGACCGTGTTCCAGAGAAGACAGGATGGCTCGGTGGACTTCTATCGCGGATGGAACGATTACAAATCAGGCTTTGGTCAGCTGACGGCTGAGTTCTGGCTGGGAAACGACAAGATCCACAGACTGACGGCCGCAAAACCCAGCACCCTACGAGTGGAGCTAGAGGACTGGAACGGAAATAGAAAATATGCCAAATATGGCAAGTTTAACATTACTGATGAGCAGGCGAATTATCGACTTGAAGTAGGTTCATATTCAGGGACGGCGGGAGATTCTTTTAACACCGGCTTGTCTTTCGGCCTTAATAACATGGCGTTTAGTACAAAAGACAGAGATAATGACGTTTGTAATAATTGCAACTGTGCTGTGGATTGGACTGGTGCCTGGTGGTACAATAATTGCCACAGCTCCAATTTAAACGGAAAATACCTGGGAAACACCAATGGGGATCATAAAGGAATCATTTGGTATAACGATTTCCGTAGTATTTCGCTAAAGTTCACCGAGATGAAATTGAGGCCGTCATCATAAATACAAAATGAGATAGAAAGGCATGTTTAATATCAACACAGCAGCGAAAAAGCTGAATGACTGTAACCACAGGTAGATCGCTCTCTGTTCGTGTGGCCGTTGTTGTTGTTGAAATCTGACCATCGATATAAAGTACATGTGTAGACATAACTGCGGCTACAATTTGCTCAAAAGATTTGAGCGTAAAAGTTTGTGTAAAAGTTTGCGCAATATGATAACTGAGTTGTGTGTGAGTGATTTTTCATGGGTTTCTTAGCCATTCTGTTGAAAGCATTAATTTCGGTCTTATTATTTGGCCGGCAACTAGATGTATTCTCCCTTACTTCTAGCCGCTGGTCTGAATAATTGTCCAGCAAAAATAGCACAAAAAGTTAGGGATGGTGAAAAAACAAATGACACGTTTCGTAGTAAGTTAAAAAAATGCGTTTGAACAGACTGGGGCGTTCAATTCCTTATTTTGTAGTAAATTCCCCAGCCGCCATAATGTTTAACTGTATTTCTTCCATGCACTGTTATATATCAAATCCTCAGATTTCACTGACTAACAACAACGACCACGCGAACAGAGGGTGGTTTGTCTGTGCTTTAAACTTAGAAAAACAACCTGATAAGGAAATTACGGCCGTAAAAAATGAAAGTATAATATGCTTATATCTACAGAACCTATAAATTACTAGACTAAAACTAACTATATGATATATCCTACAGCTGATTGCCGTTTTTAAAGTCATTTAATTCCATTCAATTTGTCGTATTTTTATCATATAATAATTGTGTTATGAAAGTGCAAAAATCGATAGCAGAAGATGAATAACATTTATGATTTTATATTTAAATATTGCTGTTTTCAGTATTAAAACAAATTGATAAGAAGTAAACTGTTTGATAAGAAAAGTAGTGTCATCAAGATATCAGAGATAATTTTTGTGATCATAAGCTTAATTAATTTAATCTATCTGGGCCCGGTTCCTGAGAGGCCGATTAGTGTTAATCCAGGATTAAAGTTTCGTCCCGTTTTGGTATTTTACATTCGTAGGCATTGCTTAGGGTAACATTTTGGGTTATCATTACTGTATCTCGTAGTAAAGGCTCAACGGTATTTTGCAACGCAACCTCGAGTTGCATGTTCTTACACGAGAAAACCGTGCTTGAAATTTGGCTTAATCCTGGGTTAAACTTAACCATCTTTCGAGGAACCGGGCCCTGGTTGGCTAGTTAGTCTGTAAATTGTTCTGCTTGAAAAACTGTTCTTCTTAATTGCCACACCTTGAGGCTTGGTGTTGATTTTTTGCTGTTGTTGTTGTTCTTTTTTTAAATATACTTTTGACAATAATTAAACTGCATCAAAACCAAAGAACATTAAGTAGCAAGCAAAATTTCTGGGAAAAACAAGGCCGTTAAACGATAAAGAATCTACGCTACAAGGAACGGCGGAAAGCGCAAAAAAAATTTAGGGTTAGGGGTTAGGGTTAGGGGTTAGGGTTAGGGTTAGGGTTAGGGTTAGGGTTAGGGGTTAGGGGTTAGGGGTTAGGGGTAGGGGTAGGGTTAGGGTTAGGGTTAGGGTTCCAGTGCCCAGGCCTCATTTTCTTGGCCGCGTGTTGATCTGGCCCGGCTGCTTCGGTCTGTTTGGATTATATTCTTCGAGTTTGTCAAAGTCTGTGGGATTCGTTTCTCTATCTGGGAAAGCTTCATTGGTTTCTATATCTGCTGCTATCCTATTTCTACGATCCTGGCATGTTTATTTTCCGTTGGAGTTCGAATTTCGTGGAAAAAGTTGTGTTGAATGAGAGCATGTCGGCGAAAATGGCACCTCGTGTTTCCTACCTTGTATATTATTATTGTAGATAGAGTGAATTTAAACAAATTACTGAAAATTATCACGAAACTTCGTTGGAGCAATAAGGACAACAACAATTAACTGCAGAGTAAGTTTTATTGATCTTTATTTAGTATTTCCTAGAACTTTTAGGATGATATTTTTACCCCATACAAACACTGTAATTTTACTGGAACCGTACTGTGGTACTATCACAGAGCGTGGGTTACCTGTGGTTAGTCGTACGATCCATCGACTGCAAAGGAAAAAGTGTTTGCTGTCTATAGAGAGTTCTTGTTTTAATAAAAATGAAACAAATTACCTTTGACGTTCTCATTTTCGTAGTCATCATCGCGTGGTTGCTATCCTATCTATTGGTAGCTGAAAATTGTTTTTTTTTTTGTATTTTGCTCCAAAAGCTGCTTTAGTCATTTCAAGACATTGAAGTGTGAATCGTGACGCGTGATCTCTAGGGTCTTCCAGCAGCGAAAAATCACGGGACGGAAATCGATCTGTCTCTGATCTAAGGCCCAGTTCAAACGTCAAATTTCACATGTGCCGAATTTAATTGCTATTTTAGTCGACTAAAATAGTTAAATACGGCATTTGATTCAAACGTCGAATTTAACTCACTGAACTTTGTCGAATTTAACTCTCTTCGCTGTCAATATTCCCAGTAATATAATAATAATTTACTAAAATTCATTCATTTAGCTCGGCACATGTGAAATGCGACGTTTGAATCAAAAGTCGAACCTAAGTCGAATCTTCGACTGTTTCAGTCGCAGATACGGTAAACGTTGCATTTTAACGTCGCCCTTCACATGCATTTAACTCTCGCGTTAAGTTCGGCACATGTGAAATTCGACGTTTGAACCGGGCCTAAGTCAGCGTACAACAGAGTTTATTAATTCTACCCCGAGGTCAAGACCGGCGCTTTAAAAGAGTCGGAGTAAAAATTATATCTCGCCAGTATTGAAACAAAATATGTAGAAAGGTCAGTAAGTCATGAGTTCATAATTGAACTCAAAGCCCTATTCCTCGAAAGATGCTAAACCGTGATCAAGCCAAATTTTAAGCAACGTTTTCTTGTCTAAACACATGCTACTCGAGCTTACAACATGCCGTTGAGTCTTAACTCCGAACTACAAAATTAACAAAAAATTGTACTGTAGGCAATCCTCGTACTAAATAGTAATTCAATTATTACTTAGTACGAGGATTGCCTAGAGTACAATTTTGTGTTATCATTTTTGTAGTTCGGAGTTAAGACTCAACAGCATCTTGTAAGCTCGAGTAGCATGTATTTAGACAACAAAATGTTGCTTAAAATAGTAATAATTTATGAACTTTATGAACTACTGTGCGCAACTTAACATGAGAATGATAAGCTGCGCATCACAACTACACTACTTTACGAGAAACAAACAAAAGATAATGGATTTAAAAAAATAACAATGAAAAGAATACATATGCATGCAAGTAAGAACTGAATATAAAAAGTTGGTCACCAATAAACAGTTCTAAAAAGATAAGTCTTAATATGCGTCTTAAAACTCAGGAAAACTGTTCACATTAGTAATCGCTTGAAGTTCTTTTGGAAGACAGTTCCAGAGCGTTGGCGCTGCTACCATAAAAGCTCTATCACCTAACGTAGTCTTCGGTCGAACAGCTGGCACAGAAAGTACTAAAATACTACCTGAAGATCTAAGGTTATATAAAGACGATTTAAATGTTAGTAGCTCGCAAAGATATTTAGGAGCAAGGCCATGAATTGCTTTGAACGTAATAAGCAGGATCTTAAATTGTGTCCGGGCTTTAACAGGAAGCCAATGCAGACCACGAAGAAGGTGTGAGATGTGGCAAAAGCTAGGCGCACTACAAACTAGCCTGACTGAGGAGTTCAAAATTCTCTGTATTTTGTTAAGCTGGTAGGAGGGGGGCGTAAGGGTTTGCGGTGATGCGGTTTTGCGTTATTTTTGGTGCGGTTTTGCGGTAATTTTTATTTTAACTCGCGGTATTACGGTTTCAAAACACTAAGCGGTTTGCGGTTATTACAACCTTTAAGTCGCGGTTTTCGGTGAAAAAAAGTGTCTGCGGTGATAACACTCTTTAGAACGGTCGGCATCCGGTTGTTTTGAAAGCGCGAGCCAAGTGTTTTGTTTTACAACGCATCAGGGTTCATTATATCAGCTTACAATTTAACTCTGTGGTTTGCAATTACGGCCTTTTCCAGTTAATGCCTAATGTGATTAACCGTTTTGCCCAATGATGTCGACTTCGTGAAATTCCATGCCGGATGTTAGCTCGTACAGCCGTACAACCTCATGTTCTCGTTGCTTTGATTCAATGCGCGACAATGGCAACTGAGGTCGTCGAGGTCGCAACTGAAAGCGAAGTAGTAATTAATTGCGTGGCAATCTTCTGTGAAGAAGGAAAGGAAGGGGAGAATTTCAGAAAAAAGAACAAATTTCGTTGTAAGGTAAACAAAAATGAGAAGCGCGTCATTAAATTCACAGAGACAGTCTGGTAAGTACTACCACAATTTTACTTAGTTTTAATGTAATGTAAAGCTCCCAAAAAACGTCTACGCATTCCAAAGCAGCACTGATTCCAGATCACTAAGTGGTCGTATAATATTTAGTCTCTTTAGGTCTCTTAGCCTGCGTAGCAAGCGTTTCCAGTCGAGTTATAGCGCGAAAGTTAGTTCCTTTTTTTTTGCTCTCGTCCCAACTTTCTCGACGAACTCGCGCGGAAAAGCTTGCTATGCAGGCTATAGGTCTGTAGACGAGGTCGTAGACCTGTAGAGGACCTGTTCAGGGCTTTGGGTCCTTTGGGACCCTTTGGGTTTTGAACTTATTCGATATACAATACTGGCTTGTTAATGGTGTTTGTTTAAGACCATTTCGTCCATTTTGAGTCAAAACTCTCAGGGTTTTTGTCCTGTAAACGACTAACGACTCCTTTTAAACAGGTTTAATTTATAGAAAGGTCTATATAGAGTGATATTTTCTCGTTTGTCGACTGTCGGAAAATAACAACACCCCTGGAGACCTTGGAGATTTGGACGGCCAGCAGTAAAAGGTCAAGTCACCATGTGCTGAGTCTGTGCTTAATTAGTGAAATCCCCTTAATTATTCATCAGCGGTCATAGTTTAGTTAGTTAGTTAGTTAGCGTTATGATGGTATGTTTAATACTAACGCACAATGTTATCAGAATATTTCACAAGTCTTGCTGACGTCAGCTTTCATATTGTGGCCTACATGTACGCGCGGTTTCGGTATTCGGGAAAAAATCCGATGCGGTTTGCGGTTTTTTGGCGTATTTCTGTGCGGTTTTGCGGTTTTCGGACCCCCTTACGCCCCCCTCTGGTAGCTGGGCAGCCCATACAAAAGACTGTTGCAATAATCAACACGAGATGTAATAAATGCATGGACAAGCATTTCCGTCGATTCTCGAGACAAATGCTTGCGGAAACGTTTGATATTATGCAAATTGTAAAAGGAAACACCGCATAACTTGCTAAATTGAGTTGACATAATGAGCTGCTCATCAAACCATGAGCCTAGGTTTCTTGCTACTGTTACAGGACAAACATCAGTCGACCCAACCCGAATGCAATTGATGTTAAATTTGCCAGCTCATGCCTAGTACCTACAATTAAAAAATTGTGTACTCATACTCATACTAATTTTTCTTGGACAAATCTGTCCTGGCCAAAGGGGGAAAGGTGCAACCCGTGAAACAAGCCACACCGGAAACTCCGTGCCCTACTATTTACGACAAGTCCGTGGGTTCTTCAACGTTCCCTGCTGACCATGTCAACACTTAAGATGCAGGATACGGGGCCTACGATTTATCGTCCTTATCCTAAAAGACCAGTCTAACCATTTGCAGTTGTCATTCCAAGGGCAGCATGTCACGGTCTGGGGCTCGAATCCGAGACTTGTCGCACAGCAATCTGACGCTCTGCCAACTGAGCTAACCGGTCGGCGGTCAAATACATCAGACGGTACATGTAAATACAAAAGGTGGAACAAAATTGTAACCCTGGATTAGCACTAATCGGCCTCTCAGGAACGTTGCACAGATCTGCCGAAATGTGATGAACTCTGCCGAACCTCTAAGAGGAAAACTAGGGAAAGGTATTACTGTAGACATTGTATTACATTACTGCGCAGGGTTTTAAATAGAGTGAATACACTTCCTGAGGGTAAATGTAAATTAGAACATTCATCTTTATATAACATGCGGGAAGTGTTTGGTTTGATGCCGAAAATCGCTGTGAGCACACCTCACGCAATACGATTCGTGTTTCGAATAAAATGCAATAACACGCACACAAAACCTGCGGAAGAACCCTTAAAACAATACCTGTTTTACCCTTAAAGAGAAGTTAGTTTTGACATTGGAATAAGGGAGGGGTAGCTGAGCAGACTACAATCTAATTGCTGCATGCAAAGCCACAGCAGACTAATTAAGGTCGCGTACGTGCCAGCCTGAGCTGCCTGTGCCCGAAGCCAGCGTTATTTGAGATTTTTGGATGTATGTATGTATATCACCGCATTTGCCTCGATTTCAAGTATGGCCGTCGAAACCGAGACTCTTTCGTTCGTAGTCAATCGATTCAGAAAGTAAACTAAAGAACGTTAAGAACACAAATAAAGTGTGATGTGGAAAACTTTAAGCCCGGGAGAAATCCTGCTTCGTGTAGAAAGCCTCGTTTTTGCAAGCGACGAGTATAAATGCAAGTGAAGGTAAAAAAATTCCTGTGAATTGACGCGGTAAATAAAGTCGGTGTTTTGGCTAAATTTGTATTTGATCTAGTCTGCTACACCGCATTTTTTAGTGCCCTCACACAACGCTCCTCCAAATGGCTGGTTTTCAGTGTCACGCCACTCAAAATAGATCAAAATAAAAATCAAAACCGTTCAATAGATAAAGTCCAGAAACTGGGACATGAAAGGAGGTGCATACACAAAGACCCTAGCCAAGATTCAGGTCAGAGGAATATTTCGTATACGAGATATCCGAAGAAATGTTTTACCCAGACTTATAGAGATTTGTATGGAGACGCCATGCTGGTGCTCACCTGGATGAGCTCCAACATGGCGGACGGAAACCAACAGAAACATCTGTTACCGAGTTTTGCCACAAAAGCGTGAATTTATTCTGCGAGAAACTCATAAACATTAAAGTAATTCTTTTTCTAATACATGAACTGTTTAGATAGCAAAATTTCCTGAAATAAGCCATTTTTTTAACCTACATGACAGCTCTCTTGGCCGTCATGTAAAGGCCGCGTCAGGCAAAAGCTTAGAAATTCAAGCGTCCTCTATAACAAAACCAAGAACCCTTTTGAAGAGAAAATTTGTATGAAAATTAGTTTTCAGCTGCTGTAATGCATCGTGAAAGTAAAATCTCGGTAGGATAGATAGTTTTTTAGTTTGAATTTTAGTGACGTCATGTGAAAACCAACAATAAATCAACAAGGAGTTGTTTACAATTTAAGGTGGAAAAAGAATTGCTCCGCTGTTTCGGCTGCTTTTGGAAAAGAAAGAAAAGGCGAGCACTCTCAGTCCTCTCATGAAAAATATAACAAACCAGAATAAGGTTTTTTCTAACCAGGGACTGGACTCACAATACTTTCAGCATTTAAATCCCAAGAGGTAGATGTTAGTGGACTCGGAAGAATATATTGCAATACAACACACGTACTAAGTGTATTACTTGCTGTTTCTATTAGATCACTGGCAATATAGACTTCAAAAAGCATGACATGTACACTTCCTGAAACAGCGAGAGCGAATATCCTCGCTCTTTTGCTGAAGGTAAACATAAACAGTAATGTTGATTTTTCCAGCTTTTCATTAACGTGTCGGAACGTGCATGGTTTGAAGCAGAAAACCGTTTTGATGACATTAGAGTTTCAAAGAATTTTCAATAGCAATGAACATAAAACCTGCCCACCAGCCCCTTCCATAAAAAATCCAAACAGTTTAGCCTAAGTAAGAAGTTAGTGTTGACATTTAGTTAGAGGGTAGGGGTAGATGGGTAGAATCTAACACTGATCCACTCAAGATATGCCGAAACGGATATGAACTTTTGCCTCCTTAGAAAAGGGAAGTGAAAATAATGACCTTGAATAACGCAGAAGTCCCTATTGTTGACCAAAGTTAAGTACGTATCATGTAACAGGTTCACGTACCAGACTGCCGAAACGATATTGAAACTAGCCGATCAGAAATGACGACTCCAAATTAAAGCAACGCTTTCCTTCTCTTGCTTCCACCATATCTGCTTTAGGTATTGTTTTGTACTGCGTTGGGTTTTTAAGAGTTGAATTAGAGTTGAACAATTACAAGAAGAGATTAAACGCGGTTGAAAACGTGGCGAAGAGCATTAATCCCCCATCCAGCTATTCAATCTTCAAGTTTAATGCTCACGGTATGTATTCAGCTTTTCTCATTTTATTGACGGATTTTAGAATTTCATGCAGTCTAAAGGGCTTTTTTTTTCAACCTTTCTCGAAGTACATTCATATGAAGGACTGAGGGATCGCTGTATGTTATCTTATGGCAAACAACACAGAGGGTGAGGCCTGTTTCAAACGTCGAGCTACTGCCGTGCTAAGCTGGCTCGACTGTAGCTCGACTGCAGCACGACATTAGCATGACTTGGTTTCAGACGTCGAATTTAATTCACACAATGATAGTCGAATGGATCGGCTGTTGCCAAAAACAAAACACAAAAATAAAGAAACGGTCTAGCAAACTTTTAAATATAATATAATGTATTTATAATTCATGAACTGAGTTCGACATGGCGGTAGCACGACGTTTGAAACCAAGTCGAGCTACTGCCGTATAGCACGGCAAGGCTTGCCGTGCTACACGGCAGTAGCGCGACTTGGTTTCAAACGTCGCGCCACTGCCGTGCTAAAGTCGAATTTAATTCGATCCATTGAGTTCGGCACGGCAGTAGCACGACGTTTGAAACGGGCCTTAGAGGGATTAAGTTATCTCGTTTATAAAAGGCGTATCAAAAGCCTTTCTTTCAAACAAGAGTTATCTTTTCCAAAGAAAGGAAAGAAATGAGATTTTTTCCGCGAACGTGACGTTTGACTCCCGTCATAAAATTGAGTTCTTCCGTTCCTTGTTGTGACTGAGTTTAAGGAGTTGTGGTAGACAGTACTTCCTACAATTCAATGCAAGAAGCGGAAGACAGAGCTTTGATTAAAAAAAAAAAAAAAAAAAAAAAAACAGCTTCATTTCAATGTTCAGTGAGCGGTAATCCTGAGCCTGCAGTAGTGTGGAGTAAAATGAACCGCAATCAGTCACAAATAAGTCACTCAGCGGTCTCCAGAAGAAATTTGCTCTTGAAAAGTGTTAAAGGATCTGACTCAGGCGAATATCGCTGTTCAGTGGCAAACATCTTGGGACAAGCGCACGCGGTGGCAATTCTAGTTTTAAACGGTGAGTTGTTTTTCTGAAAGAATAAACAAAATCTTTTTTCCTCAACTTTTTGTGGAGCTAGGAAATTACAAGTTAGTACATTTCTGCTACGTTAGAAGCGTTTCAGAAAAGTCGAGTCATCACATGACTTTTTGCAAAAGCAAGTCAGATCTAACGCTTACCAAATCATCATAGAATAAAACCTTCAGGTGGCCACGTTGCTACTGAAAAAGCAAAACAAAGACTTAGCTCAGTGATGAAGTAATTTTTTGAACTTGAGTTTTCAAAGAGCGGATTTTCCTATTCACAAATAAATTCAGACTGCAAACCACAAAACCGACTCTTTTACGGTGAGAGTAACTTGATTTTGGAAGATACAACTGGTACGCTTGTCACGTGTCATGATAGTTCACTAGCTGTTACAATTTAAACCAACAAAGTCAAAAAATAGTTTATTAAAACTAAAACTGAATAACGTCAAGGTCATGTTTATTGTTCGTTAAAAAGGTCGTTTTTGACGTTTTCTACGAAGGCATAAACTAAACTCATTTCGTATCACAATGCATCCCTTCGAATATGAGATCAACAGCATGCTTTATTATTGTCACGTGGCCGTGGGTCACAGTCTCCGCAAATTGAAACGGTTATTTTGCATTTTACCGATAAGATTTTGGGTTATAGGAAAATTACCTACAACATAGCTTACGTCTTGCTTTCGACAACTTGTTTTGCTTCCCTTAAAATATTTAAAACGTCTTTATTTGAACTGCCTGTTAAAACTGACTAATATATTTTTAAAAAAAATTGCAGTTCGCCCTCGCGTTTCGCTGCATCGGGGACCTATTTACGTCGCTGAGGGAAGCAACGTCACACTTCCTACTTGCCATGGTATTGGCCATCCCACGCCAGTGGTCAGGTGGAGCATTAAAGCATACAGTCAATTACCTCAAGGAAGAGTACAGAATAACAACACTGTGCTAAGATTACTTCATGTCAGTAAAACTGACTCTGATACCTACCAGTGCTCAGCATCTAACATTTTAGGATCCGCCGCACGACGAACACATCTGGTTGTGGTCATGCCTCCGAAGTTTATCACCAAACCTCCTACAAAGCTAGAAATCTTCACAGATGACAACGTGACCTTAAACTGCAGTGCTGCGGGCGATCCAAAACCAACCATCCGCTGGACGAGACAAGGAGGACAGCTTCCCCTGGGAAGGAGTCACATGTTGGGAGAGGCTTTGATTATCAGGGAAGTAAAAGTCGAAGATACTGGAAACTACACCTGCATAGCAAAAAGTGCTGGAGTCTCCAAAGCTTTTGCTATGAGTTACGTTGTGATGGCACTTCGAGGTAAATTTGTATGATTATTTAACCCAAACATAACGTTCTTTGAAATGGTATTTGGATTTCTTGTCGTTCAATTCGTATAGTAATCGGGCGAGTGTTTTTAAATCAATTTGAAATTTGGAGGGAGTAATTACAAATTACGATTTGAAATAACGAACCCGATTACCAATGACTTGTAGAACACGAAGTCCTATTCAGCCAATTAGTTATGTTAATGACAAAATGCGGGAATCTTAGTATTGGTAAAAGAATATTTAGCATTATTTCGGCCGCCGGATTAAAGAAAAAATACAAACACGGCAGTTACTTCGGGCCGTAGAACGGAGAGATGAAACTTTGATCCATCGGCGAGGAAAACGCCAAGCTAAATTTTGGTTCTCCACGGTGAGAACTGAGTTCCAAATTACATTTCAGGAATAAAAATAATAAACAAACAAGCTAAGGGTGAAAAGCGAAACGGAAATACACTTTGGACAAACATAGATTCGAGCGACGTAAACAAACTAGTGCCTAAACCTCGCCTCGCAAGGAATCAAATGTTTCACAAACTCATTACAGAAACGCGCCCATTGAAAAACGTCGCCCGTGAAAAGTGGGGTACCCATTAGGCTTTGCGAGCAAAAACGAAGTTTCAAAGACTACCGTCGTTTTCGGTCTCTTATGAACTTCATAGCGGTTAACTATTCTCACACTTTCAAGAGACAATGCAGAAACAATAGAAGTAGGTTGCCATTGTTTTAAGTTTTGGAATGTCTTTGTCTGTGCTTCAAGTTTATGCAAAGAGAAGCATTTTTCTTCCTCGTGCACTAACATAAAACCCTCGCGAATTCGGTAGTCTCGTGCGAATCGTTTTGATGGCAAAACAGTTAAAGCTAATCAGAAACCAAAGTATTCTTCACTTAAAACTCATCTTCCCGAAAATCACTCGATAAGATTGAATAAAAATGTTTGCGGCGTTTATAAATATTATTATCAGAAGTGGTATTGTAGTTGTTTTCACGAGACGGATTAGATCGCTGTTTAGGTTTGGCCGTTAAATATGTAGTTATAGCGTTCTTAAAGAAAGTATCGCTCTTAATTTTGCCTTATACTTTGCTAAAATCAATATCTTCAATGAAGAATGTAAGTGCGAGTGCTTTTTCATCAAATTTGCCCGTAAATTTTAAGGTTTATAATATTATCCAAAACCTGTGACAAAATCTAAACAAACTATTAACGCATCGGTTGCGCTCATATTTCATCGATCGATTCGAACACCAAGAAGTTTGTAAAAGGTAGAAATTCATTTTAAGTAAGTTCATTGAATTATTTACGGCAAAATCAAGAACAATCATCGAGGATTTTTTAATTTTGAAGCGTTTAACAGCAAAAAGTCACATGCTAATTCGGAGTAAATTTAGACAGTTTTTAAACAGACTGAGCTATTGTTAGTCGCGTAAAGTTCTATTCTTCATCGAAGAATAGGCAAATGTTGCGGATGTCTGAGCAGGAACAATAACCAGGAAAGGGATGTACCCAGGGGATTTCTTGATTGACACTAACTTAACGTCATTTTTCACTTATTTGCATTTTCACGATCGACGTTTTTGAATGGGCGCGTTTCTGTAATGAGGCCTCTGCTAGCAGGGAGAATCAATGTAACTACAAAGTTCTAATTACATCAGCTTTTTAATACAGCTTTGAAAGTAGCTCGCTCGCTGTCTCGGTTTGTTCTATTGTATACTTCAGAAACTATATCATTTTCTTTACTGATTTCAGGGATTTCTAAATCAAGTGTTTCAACGGGTTTTGAAAGTTTAAAGAAAATATCATATTAGTTATTGGACCAGTTAATTCTGTCCATCGAGTTTAGCTGAACAGCCTTTCACTCATTGATTTTGATTGGTTATCATGGGCTGTGTAGTTACATTTAGTCGGCTAGTAACATTTGTCAATATATTTTTAAATTTTAACTATCCGATTTGACCTTTCCCGGATTACAAGCTCCTAGTAATTGCTCAGATCATCTTGGACTGTTTTGGTGTTGCAATAGCAAAATCATGGGATGAATACGGCGGATAAAAACCAATCAGCAATATCCATAATCCCCTAAAACAAAAATTGTAAAAAGAAATCTAAAACGGGTAACGCCTACATGCACAGAAATCTCGCATCTGTATAACTTTTTTTTGACGCAGTGCTAAGTTTTAGAACCCTGCTTAAAGTTGTTAACTGGTTAATGATATATCTACAATAGCTATTTGACAGATTTCTCTGATCAGGATGTCCTCTTATTGTTTACTGTTTTCTTCTTTTTACAGATTGTTCTGATTTGTTAAAATCAGGCCATACTCAGAGTGGAGTGTACTCTGTGAACCCTGACCACAAAGGATCCTTCAATGTTTATTGTGACATGCGCACTGATGGTGGAGGATGGACCGTGTTCCAGAGAAGACAAGATGGCTCGGTGGACTTTCTATCGTGGATGGAACGATTACAAATCAGGCTTTGGTCAGCTGACGGCTGAATTCTGGTTAGGAAACGACAAGATCCACAGGCTAACAGCTGCTAGACCCAGTTCTTATGAGTAGATCTAGAGGACTGGAACGGAGTAAGAGTGCATGCTAAATATGGCAAGTTTAGCATTGGTGATGAGCAGGCGAAGTATCGAATCATAGTGGGTTCATATTCAGGGACTGCAGGAAATTCTTTAATTCCAGAGCATGATAACATGGCTTTTAGCACTAAAGATAGAGATCATGACAATTACGGAAGTAGAAGCTGCGCTGTGATATGGACTGGTCCCTGGTGGTACAAAGACTGCCAGTACTCCAATCTCAACGGAAGATACCTGGGCAAACAACATAACTGGCAAGGACTCCGCTGGTATCATTTTAGAAAAGACCTTTCACTCAAATTCACTGAAATGAAACTGAGGCCGTCGTCTTTTATAAGAGCGACTCCGCGTAAATATCAACTAGACGTGGAAATAGTCAAAAAATGACCTGGCCTCAAACTCAGCCAGAATAAAGCCCTATGGGCCCTAGTTACAAAATCGTTGGTTTAAGTACGATCGAGTGAAAAATATTTTTTTTAACGAATTTTTTTCTTCTCGAGGCCTAAAATGGGCACAAATCATGCGAAATTAGAGTCATATTTAGTAACTCGTAAATTTTAAAATAAAGTTGGCAACTAAAATCTAATAACACTTCTTATTTTTACTATCTTTCCTCTATAATTTTTAACTGACTAATTTGCGATTTGGTCCACAAGAGATTTTTAAAGAAATTTTCAAAGTTGTTGACTCAAAATCGCTTAATCAACCGTCAAAATTTAGCACTTTTTCACGAGCTAAAACAGCGGATTGGTACATGGCTTTGAACACCAAGGCTTGTTAGTCTGAAAGAGCATTCTTTTTTCTTCAAATTAGCGAAATAAAATTTTTGGGTAAATGAAATCACGAGCGCTGACAAAGTCAAGCAAATGTAAATATTACACTAAAAACGGGCGAAAAAACGTGACCTCTGACCGAAGCACAACCAAATGCGAATTACGGTAGGCGCCAAACCTTTAATTATTCGGTAACTTCTTGAGACAATATTGGTCCGAAATGTGTATAGATTTTTTAAATAAAGCTGAGTTAAAGTATTAAGAGTCAAAAAGTCCACAAGGCGGTAAAAAATACAACAAAAGTCACGAGTAACCTGTTCCGTTTTCTGAATTTTACGCAGCGATTTATGCGATTTAACGAATTAACAATTTTTAATCCAACGATACCCATTTGAGACTGTGTTAGTTTAAGAGTCCATAGAACTTCTCAGACGATTCCTCGGAAAGTCCTCCAGAGGGAAATGAATGAAAAATTTGAACTTACAATTGTGACAATTTCACTTGCCGCAACGACAAAACGAAAGCAACTGTCGAACTGCCACAGGCAAACCAACTTTCAGTGGAGTCATGCAAAGCATGTCACGTCACGTAATTCTGCCCCGCGCATTTGGGAAGGAGGGAAGAAATTCTTCCATGCTGTGCGCTAAAACATTTATGAAAAAAAAAAAACTTTGGAATGTATCTTTTGCAACTAGTTAAAGAAAAGAATAACTTTTTCCCCTGTTTTTGCTCGAGGGGCGCTGTGCACTTCTTTTATTTTATCTGCTGTTTATAATGATTGTGTTTTAAGTTCAGAACGTGTTAAAGCGAAACTTCTAGAACGTAGGGTTTTCTTTGTTTTTTTTGTTCGCGTCTACTTGCAATTAGTTGTAATTGTTTATAGTTTTCTTTTGTTATATTGTTTACTTTCTTTTTGGTGTCACCATCGTTGCGTAATGTTACGTAATCCGTCAAGTTTTTTGGTATAAAGTTAGTCTTGTCGGTCAGTGTTTTTTACAGTTTTTATCGGTCAAGAACAGCTCATTCCTTTTAACGTTAAGTCAAGAAACCGTTAAGGTAAATTTTAGTCATACGCCATTTGTACGCTTTTCCGTTTTCTTTGATGTGTTTGTTATTTTGTACTGATTTCTACATTTTTCGTTATTTCGTATTCTTTGTATTTTTGGTTGTACAGTACCGTAGGAGTGTGATTTATGAAATAAAGCGGTTGGACACTAATACGCGTGACTTCGGTTACATAGTACTTAACGATCGACTTTGGTAAAAGTTGGCCGCTCTGGTTGGCGACAGATCAAAGGAGTTCCAAGTTGAAATTACAATTAACGATGTCTTCGGTTGGTGAAAGAGACAGCTTGGGACGGACGATTATAGCCTACCGTGGACACATTACGCGGATTATAAATGAATTAGATCCGCTACTCTTGGAGCAAATTGCTTCTAAAGAAGTTGTTGAAAAGCACAGTTCGCTGGTGAGCATATTCGAGAAGCTTAAACGGGCTTGTGCGCAGTGGTATCATTTGTCTGGGGAGCAAGAGGATAGAGAGCGTATTACTCATGACTACGCCAAGGATGTTTATCGAATGCAGATGTTTGAAAACAAATACAAGGAATGGTTAAACGATGTTTACACCCCAATAAGTCGAGGAGTTTACGGTGAAGGAATTGCGAATATTTCTGGGTTTGATTTGAGCTCCAAAACGCCTGTTGTACGATTAGAGGGTGCCTTTCAAGGAACTCAGAATACAAATCCTTCAGTTTCCCACGCGGGCGCGCGTAGTGATTTATTGGAAACGAAAACTCCTAATGCGACTCAAGATCATGCAAGTGGCGGCGATAAAACGCCAAGTCAATTACACCCAAGGAAAAAGAGCTCTAAAGGAGGGAGTCAGTTATCGGCACGGAATGTCAAGTGTACAATGGCTCAGCTTAAAGTGAAAAGGCTTCTGGCTGAACAAGAGATAAAGGAAAGTGAAATTGCGTTACGACTACAAGAAGAAAATACGCGTTTGTCAGCCGAGAAGGAACGTTTGAACATTCGAAGCGAATTAATGTTAACCAGGTTTGACGCAGAACAGGCTGAGATTGAAGCCAAACTGAGGGAGCAGGTTGATTTTGACTCTGTTTTTTCTTCCGAAGGATCAGTTAGAGGTCACGAGAACGTGAGGAAATATTTGGAAGGATTGTCACTTTCCGCCGTTCCTGGTCAACCGGATGTTGAGAAATGCGTTTTACCGGAAACCAAACCGCACGCTTTACCGGAAGTGAAAGCTAACATACCGGAAGCGAAGAATGTTACTGGAAATAGCACTGACGAAACAACGGTTAAATTTCAAAGAATTATGGAGCAACAGCAGATGTCTATCGATAAAGTTGTTCTTGGACTTGAGAAGTTGGACATGCCAAAGCGGGAATTCTTGTACTTTGATGGCGATCCTTCAAGGTACCCCAGATTTATCAAGAATTTTGAGCTCAACGTGGAATCCTCGATTACAGATGACAATGTAAGGCTATCTTATCTGATCCAGTATTGCACTGGCAAAGCTAAGGAGGCAATTGAAAACTGTGTAATTCTGCCAGGGCCTGAAGGATACAAAGCTGCTCGTGAAATTCTTAGAAAGAATTTCGGACAACGTCATGTCATCATCCGATCGTTCATCGATAAAGTTGTCAAAGGACCACAGCTAAAATCTTCTGATGGAGAGAAACTCTTACAGCTCGCAAGGGACATGCGAATCTGTTTGCTGAATTCTGCGGAATTAAGCTATCAAGCCGATATAAACTCTTTGGACACTCTGAAGAAGATCGTTATGCGTCTTCCTGTGCACATGCAGGCAAAATGGGCGGATGAGTCGGGGAAGATTTTGGAATGGGTTCTGAACCAACCTTCTCTCATTTGGCAGACTTTCTCGAGGAAAGGGCTCTGATAGCAAACACTGAGTTCGGGAAGTTAGTTGGATTCAAGCTTGGAGAGTCAAGAGTCACAAAACAACCAAGAAAAGCAGCTGATGGTGATGGTACTGTGCTTGCTTTGACTCAAGTTGAGAAGGATGTTAGTAACCAAGCCAATGCAGCCAACAGCAAACGCTCAAATCAGAGGTCAGCAACGGATGGTCAAGTTAAATGCAAGTTTTGCGATGGAAGACATGAATTGGAGAAGTGTTTTAAGTTCCGGGACAAACGATATATTCAAAGGAAGGACTTTGTTAGGAAACAAAATCTGTGTGAAAATTGTTTGAAGCCTAATCACATCGCTAGACGATGCAGGAGTCTTGATGCTTGCTTGCTGAGTGGCTGTAGAGAAAGGGGTGTCTACAAAACAAAGACCTAAGACCTAAGACCTAAGACCCAAAAACGAAGACCCTAAAACGAAGACCCCAAAACGAAGACTAGTTTTTTTTTAAAGGCCTATCAAACCAGAGCCAGTCAAGCCGGGTCAACGCTTTTCCTCAGACACCAACTGACGCGAAATGAATGGGGTCTTCAAACCAGAGCCAGTCAAGCCGGGTCAACGCTTTTCCTCAGACACCAACTGACGCGAAATGAATGGGGTCTTCGTTTTGTAGATTAAGCCGGGTCAAACTACAGAACGAAGACCCTCGCTTGCTTTGTTCGTTGTCAACTGACGCGAAATGAATGGGGTCTTCGTTTTGTAGATTAAGCCGGGTCAAACTACAAAACGAAGACCCTCGCTTAGAGGCCGAGACACACGATGCGACAAATCGCTGCGACAGGTTGCTGCAACAAATCGCCTCGTGTGACATGTGAAATAAGGCCGGCTCGAACTACAAAACGAAGATCCTCGCTTAAATGCTTTGTTAGATGTCAACTGACACGAAATGGGTTTTTGTACTATGTCGACAGTTTTTATCGGCTTATCCCCAATAGACCCCACTTCTGAACGGCAATTTGAAAACAATAACTTGAAAAGTAGAATAAGATAATGTAAACTTGCCCACCTCCGGGTACGGTATGGACGCAAAACCATCGGCCGCCTTCATTTTCAAAAGGAAGGCCTTCTTTAAAGTAAAGAAATTCAAATGGTGTTTTATTTGCAAATCAGAGGAAAACGTACAAATAGAAGGATTTCTGCGATCCCCAGTACAATTTACAAACTGTTAATATCTTCATATTCATATC